GGTAAAATTCGAGCAACCGCATTACCCCTTTAAAACATACACACATACAGGTATTTATTCGGGAGGCGGCTAGAGTGCCGCTAGCCCCCCCCCCCCCCCCCCCCCACCCCAGTTGTTAAATCCTTTCCAAAATGCTAGCGGAAGTTCTTGACACTTAGCGTAAGTTGTGCCGTAGCTAGCGCAGCTATAGTAAGTAAATGTTATACAGGGTGAAATATGAAATCTTACAAAATGTCGCCAGCTCCAAGACAAGATTTAACGTTTACAAGCGCTAATATCCACTTATACTTTAATATACTATTATTCTGTTTAGAGTTTTTTAGTTTTAATGAAAAAGTTAGGCTTTCTCCACTCTCCAGTTAATTTGTTTTTGTATTGCTTTCTTACTCACAAAAAATAAAGTTACATTCAGTTACATTACTAATGATTTTTATTTGTCCACCTATCATTGCTTGCACTTTTCAAGGATTTATGGCCGTTACCAGCATCAGGATTATTTAATTTTTCTCTCGAATGTTTAGTGCAATTCACAACCAATCGGCACCATTTTTATTTTTTACTAGAAAAGTGATGATAATGCAAATTATTATTTACATTCTTATCAACCAAAATGAAAACAGGTGAAAATAAACTCGATGCAAAAAAAAAAAATAGTATATTGTGCAACAAGTGTTGAAAATAGCACTTTTCACACGCGTGGGGAAGTTTGGTGACACGAGCCGCAGGCGAGTGGCACAAACCGCACGAGTGTGAAAAGTGTTTTTCACACGCGTTACACACTATACTTTTTCTACGACTGCGAAATAACTATATTCACATTGAGATTTAATTTTTTTTTTTGTTAAAAATTATTATTTAGGGTTATAATCAACGAACCATTTTGGTACGTACGTTGAATGCACTCATAGTTACTTGCAAAACAAAAATTCAGTAGAAGTGTCATTTTTATTTTAGCGTGTGAAAAGTACTTTTCGCACGCAAAACCGTGTGAAAAGTTACTTTTGCGGAATAATTGATTTTCCAGGTAAGTTAGTAGTGCGTTTTTAATAGCTTTCCAGAGCAGTCGTAGAAAAAAATATTTAAAATTTACCAGTTTATTTACATTTATTTCCTCTGCCTGGAGATAAATATCTGTACAATGTTATCACTTTGTTAACATTTTTCTAAATTTAAATTCAGCAATAACTCCGAGAACACCAACAATTGACCCATGGTTAATAGGACAGTTTTAGCTTGAAAAATTCGGAGCTCCGTCTGTCTGTTCCCCAGACTCTTTAATAAATTATTATGAGGATAAGTAGGATTTGATGGAACCAAGTAATAATAAGACGGCAATTGACGCCCCTGTGGATGAAAAGGTTTATCAAGTCACTGTAGGTGTCACGAATGTGTACCATGCGCCAGCATTTTGAAAAGGAACAACTGGGAAAGAGGAAAATTAGCGTTACTCTCCCCCGCCCCCCTACAGAATAAATATCTGGATAATTATTAAACGGCTAGAATGTGCTAGCTTTAAACAAACTAAATGTAACATGTAGGCAGTGTTACCAGATTGGGGGATTTTCAAGTAGATGGGGGAAAATCTGGGGGATAGTTTTTTCTGGGGGATTTTTTGGGGGTAAGAATTGTAAGAATTTTCGCTATTGGGGGAAATCGGGTATATTTCAATGAATAAAATTAAAGTAAAAAATGTATTAAAACAACTGCGCCATCTATTTTTTCAATCAAGTACCATTAAAAAAGATACAGTTTGCTTCTTCTCCAGTGTTGCCAATGGGCGGATTTTAATCCGATTTGCGGATTTTTTTTTGGATGATCGAATTTTTTTCGGATTTTGTAATTCAGAGGATTTTTTGTGGAGTTTTTTAGATAAAACGAATAAGGGCATGAAATCATTCCAAAGCACAAAAAGCCAACATGGCTGCTATGGCAGTATGCAACAAAATTTTTGGGATTAGAAAAATATAATAAACAAATAAAAAAGTGGTAAGGGTATGAGTTTTATTTTAAAATATTCAACGAATTTGTCTTTTTTTTTTTTTTTTTTGCAAGTATGAGTCCAGAATAAATCTATATTTATTTGGGGGATTTTAGTTGACAAACAGTGATTTTTGGGGTATTTTTGAAATCCTTTGGGGGAAATTAGTTATAACCATCTGGCAACCCTGCATGTAAGCGCTGATGATTCAGTTCACCCTGTATAACACTTACCATAACAACTTACGCTAAGTATTACGAACTTCCGCTAGCATTTTGGAAAGGATTTAACAACTGGGGGGGGGGGGGGGGGGGGGGGCGGGGGGGGGGGGGGGGGCTAGCGGCACTCTAGCCGCCTCCCGAATAAATACCTGTATGTGTGTATGTTTTAAAGGAGTAATGCGGTTGCTCGAATTTTACCTACACTAGCCTGCGCTAGCTTTAAGGGAGCTTTGTATATATTTTTGAAAAATTGAAAATCACTTGTAGGGGTTTATGATTTTTTTTGTTCACCCTGTATGACAGCTACGATAGCTGCGCCCCCCCCCCCCCCCGAATAAATACCTGTATATGTTTTAAAGGGGTAATGCGGTTGCTCAAATTTTACCTGCGCTAACCTGCGCTAGCTTTAAGGAAGCTTCATATATATTTTTGAAAAATTAAAAATCACTTGTAGCGGCTCATGACTTTTTTGTCCACCCTGTATGACTATGACACAACTTGCGCTAGGTGTTACGAATGTGCGCCAGCATTTTTGAGAAGATCGAATAACTGGGGGGGGCTAGCGTCACCCTAACCCCCCCCCCGAATATAAAGCCACATATCTTTTGACTTGACCTGTAGCTACGCTAGCTTTCGAAAAAGTTGCGCTAGGTTGCGCTAGCTCTGGAGAACGAGGGCTAGCGTTTTGGATAAAAATTATCAACTGGGGGGGGGGGGGCCAGGTCTACTGAGCCTGCTAAAGGAGCTAAAGACCTACTCGAGTCCGGGACCCAACGGAATACCTGCCATTTTCCTAACAAGATGTGCGGAATCCCTAACACCTCTATTAGTAAAAATATTCAACAGCTCGCTAACAGAAGGCATCCTACCAAAAATTTGGACCCAGGCTCTTCTAATTCCAATTTTTAAGAGCATCATCCTACAAACTACCGACCAGTAAGCCTGACATGCACACTCTGTAAAGTAATGGAAAAAATACTTGCAAAAGATATCACAAGTTTTCTACTGGAAAGTTCTATTATTCCACCATCACAACACGGATTTCTACTACAAAGATCAACCACCATCAACCTCTTGAATTGTGTAAATTATTGGACCAAAGAAATTGATGAAGGCAACCCAATAGATATAGTGTATCTTGACTTTCAAAAGGCTTTCAACACTGTTCCACATAAAAGACTTCTCCACAAACTAGACCACTACGGGATTAGAGGATCCTATCTTCGATGGAGTGACTCCTTTTTTAAAAGAAGAAAATACGCAGTTAGGGTCATGTTAGAGAATGTTAACCAAAGAAGAGAAAGAGGCGACTTGATAGATACCTATAAGATCCTGTGTGGAAACTACTTCCCATATGGCAGACAGGTTTCAACAAAACATGAATAAAAACCTCAGAGGACACGACAAGAAGCTCAAGAAAGAGAAAACATCCTTAGCGTTAAGAAAAAACTTCTTGTGCAACCGCGTAGTATACCGGTGGAATGCATTAAACCAGGATACTATAAACGCGCCAAATTTTCAAGAATAGACCGGATCGAAACCTATCTGAACTTAACTCCACCCTAGTACACTACTTCTAAACCCAATTAAAAGAAACGACGCAGGGCATTGGACAAAGAAGATAATGATAGACTCATCGGTGTCAAACCGCTTTCTATTGTCAAGCAAATAATAATAATAATAATAATAATAATACAGTTTTTCATATATAGATCGATTTGGTTCCCGGCGGGACATCCTAGCAGATCTTTCTAATTTTTCGAGCAGGTAGAGCAAGTACAAATGAACAACCCAATATATTCAAAAAGACATCTAGAAAATCTAGATTCTGTCACTTACTTAGGCTTGTCACAATAATAATCATATTTAAAAATTCCTAAAAATATCGTCTCCACTATTATCAAGAGTGTCACTCCTTTCGTCAAAAATCCATTTACTCTGGAGGTGGTGGAGGAGGCGCCTCACTATTAGGTGGCGCATCTGTCGGTAAGGGAGGCTGCTGTGTCACCGACCCGAACTGTGGTTGCTGGTACATATACCCGCCATAAAACCCCGGAAAAACGCCATAAGCCGGAGGCGGCATATTAACGTTGGGCATCGTCGGTGGCGGCATTTGATAGGCGTTGTAGGACATTTGCGGAATCGGCGGTGGCGGATATTGCATGTTAGCGTCCGGGTTTTGAGTATAGGTAGGGGCGAAACGAAATTGGGCATTCATATTTCTCGGTTTTCTGTGATTGTTTGCACCACCTTGATATATGGGTGGTCTGTATGAAGTGAAATCTAATTGATGCCCATAGGCCTGTTGATTTTGATAAGGCGGGGGGTGATATCTGTTTTTGAAATTATTTTGAAGCATGTTGTTATTGTTGATGTATTTGTACGGAGTGGAGTAAGGAGGTACAACATTTGGCGCGATTGATGTACTAATAAATTGGGAGTTATCGTTAATACTCATTGGTTGACCGCCTTTTTTTTTCAACAACAGCTTGGGGTGGTGAATTACTAACTGATATAGGTGATAATGGCAAAGGGGAAAGATGTATTGGGGCATTTGAAAAACTTTCACTAGCAAAAATAGGAGACAATAACGTTGGAGATAGAGATTCCACAGTGCTTGTAACATATTTCGGCGTAACAGGTAAATTAATATTATTTTCTTCAATTTGGGCATTATTGTTTACTGTAATTGGTGGTTTTTCTACAAAAACATCATTTAAAAAACTAGAACTACTCTCCACTAAATCATTAATATTATTCACAAAGCCTTCACTACTACTAGATTGGTTGGTTTTGCTTACCTTACTGTAAGGATATCGGCCATTCTGTTTAAATTCTTTGTAACTCGATTTGGAAATCTTCAAAGGTGGAGTCGGAGTACAATTGGTAGGAGAGGATCGCTCCCTGTCTCTTTTACGGCTACTATTACTAATTGAAACGTCCAAGGAATTGAGACTGCTTGTATTGCAGTTGTTGATTTTATCCTTAGGAATTTTTATTTTTAAACCTGAAATAAATATAATAATTTAGTTTAGCGAAAACTGAATAAATTGGTAATATAAGTGGATACAAATAATGAAAACAATTGTTGAATAATAATTGTAAAAACTTTTGCAGAATGAACAACTATGCGAGAATTGCATTCAAGTTTTGGCACTGTATGTTTATGGTATAGAGCTAATAATAGATTTCTGAAAATAGTTAAATGGTATCTTTGTTTTTGTCTTTCTAGTCTTGAATTCGCTTGTCTGACGCAGTTAATTGATTTTATTCTCCAATTTATTGTAGAACGATATTTACTAAACTTGCAGTCGAATACAGAGTGAGTATTTTTTTGTGATTTTATTATTGCCGACTTTTGTAGGAAATATTTCACGAAAGCCGGTAATCGAAAACAATTGTACCACTGTATGAAGATACAGGATAATCAAAATGTTATTATGTCTGGCTCTCAAAGTTAAAAAACCTTTGACGAGAGCCCGTAATAGAAAACAATTCTACCCACTGTAATTTGACTCAGCCACTGTATAAAGCTCTTGAACAAAAGCCGAAAATAATTCCACCCCCTAGTTACGGCCTTGGTTTTACATTTACAGGTTTTTTTTTGAGAATTTTAAGATTGTACCCAAACACACAATAATTCACAAATAAACTAATTACTTATTGAGAAAAAAAAATACTCACCTCCTGAACTAACATGTGACAAAGTCATTGGCTCCACTATACCCTCAGTCTTAATTTTATCTTTAGGAATCTTAATTTTGAGCTGATTCAACGGCTGAATCTTGTCCTTCTGAATTGTGATCTTAATCGGCTCGCTCATCATCGGCAACGGTTGAGCCTCCGCCTTCCTTTCTCTATGCTTGTGCTTCTCCCGGTCTTTGTCCTTGTGCTTTTTCTTCTTCTCCTTTTCTTCCCCTTTGCTCCTGTCCTTGTGCCTGTGTTTTTCCTTCTTCTTTTTACTCTTGTGGCGGTGTTCTTTTTCTATCGTTTGTTCAGGTAAAGAATTCGCAACGGTCGTATTCTGAACAACTTCTTGTTTTATTGAGGTAGTTGCTACACCTGGGAGGTGGGAAGTGGTAGCAACCTCTTTTAAAAGGTTGCTTATCAGGGTGGGGTTGGTTTCTAAGCCATTTACTATTGGCTTAACGTCTTTAACGGGACTTTCTGGTTCTGGTTTTGCTAAAACAGAATCATTTTTGTGCATGTGAGTCATTCCAATTGTGCTATCACGCATCAAATTTTCAAATCCTTCGACTTGATCTATTTTTTTCATGGTTGGTCTTAGTTCTGGTTCTGACCCACTAGAGTAATTTCGATTTCTTGTACATGGTACACTTGGAGGAGAATTGATTGGAGATAATGCAGTCAAAGTGGTTAGAGATGGTAATGCAGGTTCAGTTTTGGTAATTGGAAGTTGAGGATGCTGCGGTGTTTGTTCAGGTGAAAATAAACTAGGTCGCTTGATGACAAGAGGAGTAGGAATTTCTTCTTTTATATGAATAGGTTCAGTCTTTATTTTAACATCAGTTTCTTGAGGTTTATTATAAGATCCATTTGGGTTACCATTAAACTGTTGCTGCTTGGGGTTAACCGTGTTAGTTTTTGGGACGGATTTACTATCTAAATTAAAAGGCGATTCTTTTATTTTTTGCGAGGTAGAACTTGAAGAGGATTTATTAAGGTAAGCACTGTTTTTATCAAAACTAGAACTTAGATGTTTTTTGATATTGTCCGTTTCGGTTTTTATATGAGGATGCTTTTGTTCCTCATACCGCCGCATCATTTCTTGTTTGGACGCGGATTTTGTTGGATCGGCCCTAGGCCGGCTAGGATCGATACGCTGTTGTCGCACATCTGAATAATTTGTTAAACTGTTCTGATCGGTCTGTACACTGGATTTGAGTAACGAGTCGCGCTTTGGCACTTCTTTATCACTGCGCGCTACATACGGATCGCGAACCGCGGGTACACCAAAGGGCGAATCTTTACTAGCATCCCTTAAAATATCTCTGGGTTCGGTTCTGTTTGTCGAAGGAAAACTAGGGCCACTCGTCGACGTTCGGGTGTGCGGCTTCAGCTTATTAGGATCTGGCCTATGATGATGCGCCGGATGAGGCAAAGTTATTCCGCTCATATGGGCAATACGTTCTTTTTCTTTGCGTTCTCTCTCTCGTTGTTCTTGAGTCCGATGACTAGCCAAAGCATCTGTTGGTCTAGAGGCTCTATGTTTATGAGGATCTTCACCTAAAAAACCCAAGTTTTAGACATGGGTCACAGAAAGAACATTATCAGATAACCACCTTTGAATTCTAAAGTTCTTGAACTATTTTCTGGTTTCTTTTCTTGTTCCTGAAAACAAAACAAAAACACTTTATTGAAGTCAGTAAAAATAACCAAAACTGAAAAATAAAGGCTCAACTTCAATGCCTATGGTTCATGAATTCATTATTCTTATGTTAAAGGAAAGTTTATGAGACATCAAGCTACACAAATTCAAAGATTTTTAATAATAATTTTTTTCATTCTTAGCAAAGATTTTAGGTTTCGATCATTCATATTTTGAGCCTTATACTTTTACTTAAAATTCGAGAATTTATACTTACAAATGGACTACTGGAACTTTCTTGTTTAGCCATAATTTTCTCCTTCAATCTCGAAGGACAATTTTCAAAAATAACTAAAAATTCACTAGTCAGTTGCTGCAAAAGTTCAGCAGTTACAGTTTGGTCAACATAAGTGTACCATTCCTTCTTCTCGTTTGATAATGGTATTTCCCAATTTGACCACTTACACGCTAACAATATACAAAAACATGCCACTACGGTAGGCTTGTATTGGATACACATTGTTGTAAGGTGTAAACTAAAAATAAAAACATTGTTAAAGTCATACATATTTTAAGTTACATATTAAACTTACCTATTACTAGCCATAAAATACGAAGTTTGTGCTAAATCTTTACTTGCTCTAACTAAATGACAACACCTTACAACGTAAGTATGTGGATGGTCTATGGCAACATCAAAGCCAAGTGTTTGAAGTAGAACATTTTCATTAAAAACTAAGTCTTGTGATTGGGTTATATATCTGCGAGAATACTCCAATAAATACCAATTATTACACATTTATTAGCTCCAATATTACCTTTCAGAATTAATATCAAAACTTTTATCTCTGGGATTTTTGCAGATATTCGCTACTCGAATAACGTACTCTAATTTTCTAGGTTGTTCTTCGACTTTCGCGGCCAAAAAAAGTGCTGCAGCTGCCATCTGATGCCACGGGAAGTTCGTGAAGGAGTGGAATACATAAAATCTGTGCATGTAGACTATTGCTGTATTAATACACAGTTGAGATCTAAGAAGATATTTTGAGGAATGAGTTTTACGTAAATAAAATGGTAAATAAAAAAAAAAAAACATGCTCAGGCTCATTTGAAAGGGTAATGATGAACTTAGTTACGTTTCTTATCATTAGGTAAGTATCTTAGTGACAATTTCTAGAATCTAAAGTTTTAGGTATTATTCCAGAGTTTGTCCCGTCAATTTAATCAAGACAGAACCTAGATGATCACTAACTGTTCTGTCCCAACAAAATAGGGAGACATTTTGAGAATAATTTTTTTTGCAGGAAAATGAAATAGAGCCCAGCAGCTGCTATATTTAACAAATCAGGACAAATGTAGCGTAAAATGTGAAAGGGTCCAAGGGGTCATGCCTGACTTATTCTAGAAAACTTTCTAGTATTTAAATGAATAATATAAAAATTATTACTGGTTGTAAATACATACCTAACTTTTTCCAAATAATTAAGAGCATTTTAGCATCTATATACAATGCTATCCCAGTAAAAAATGTTATTCAATTGTCCCAAGATTGTTGCTTCCATTGTTCCAATTAAGTCTTTTTTCTCAAAATTAATAGTATTGTACTCTAGTCCAGTTCAGAAATGAACTTTGTTATTTTTTTCCCTCATCAGCAATTGGCTTGCGAAATTTTCAATCAATGCAATAAAATTACAAGCATTATTTCACATTGCATGTAATTTTAAAAGGCTGCAAGTCCTTTACAGCTGTATGCAACATCCTCTTTCAACTTAAAAGCGCTTTTTAAAACTGGTCACTTTTAAAAATGTGTATTCCAAACCATAGAAATTTTTAAAGGTACCAGTTTTAAAAAGCACTTATAAGTTAAAAGAGGATGTTGCATACAGCTGTTAGTGTTCTAGACGTTTTTTTTCCTTCTGCTTTCTGCTCCTTTTAACGTTACTCCCAACAATAGTATTTCCTTTCATGTTTATTTCGGCTTCATTTTATTTAGTTAGTTAGTTTCGAGAAATTAATACATACAAGCAAGCGATTCAAAAATGAAGACTCTTGCAAAAATAGCCTACCCATAGCCATAGGCTACTTACTGGTAAAGAACATTTTAACAACCAATAGGTTAAAAGGAATGATTAAAGAAACAGTTAGCTCATATTAGCCATTCCTGCAAATCAATTTAACCATAGCTCTGAGCTTTGAGAAACAATACCAGCTTCAGGTGAAATTGTTGCTTGACTATAAACTACTGCTCGGCCATAGGAATCAATTTAAGAAAAGTGTCAAGGAACATTAAGTACCACAAGCTTAAGAATTGGGAAAAATTGGTCTAGTCCATTAGTTAGCTATGTGAAGCTTCTCCTAAGCAGTTACTTATAGAGAGAAGTTAAAGCAGCTTTAGAACAAATTGGCAAAAAAGCTGCTACCCTATAAGAAAATATTTATAGGAAAAGAGCTTTGCAAACAGAAGGTTCAGAAGAAATTCTTAAAACAACAGAGAACCTCTTAGTTACTCCTGAAAAATCGTTTCATGTTTTAGCATGCTCTGAAGCTTGATTCCTCACCAGAAAAAAAAAAACAACTGTAAGAGAAAATTCCGTTTTTGGTGAAAAGGAACCACTTGAGGGTTGTTTCTAGTTCATGAATTTGATTCACCATTCATGATAACCGAAAAGAAGTCCTGGGAAGATTGAAGAAATCCGAAGAAATATGGGGACCCAATAGGAAAATAGAAGGAAGTTTGAGAAAGACCAGGAAATATTTATCAAATGAAAGAATAAGTTTCTATGCACAATTTGTTCGGCGGTTTCGAGAGTGAGGGGCGTCCTCTTGAGAAAAAGAACCAACACAAGAAGCCTAAGAATAGTTAGGTACTGAATAAGAAGTAAGTATCCTATTAACAATTTCAGAGGATACATACATTAAATATAGATGAGTTGGATAAATCTACAGAAAATAAGCTGAAGAACAAACACACTATAAAATTATTTCCAATCTCATAATGCTTTTGAGAATAAGTGTAGGCATAGAAGAACACATATCTGAGCACAGAAAGTAAAATAAGAGCAATATAAAACAGCAATTAGATACTTCCAAAAATTGATATAACTGGAGGCATAGAGTAATTAATATACAATACATTATGAGGTTTGTAAGACAACAAACTGAAAAAACCACATAAGCAGAATGGGCGAGAAGAGACTTGCACAAAACTTGTTGACAAGAGAACTTAAGGGTAGACCACCAAAACGCTGGACATTTCCAACTTAACAAAGCTTTATTGATTTTACAAATTTTTGACTAGCTCAGTGAAGCTCTCTGGCTGCTGATAGACAAATGCATCATCACATTCATCTGTGGAATAAGTTAATACTGATCCAATCTTCAAATCAGAATATGAAGTTGCCATACGTATATGAAATATCATATCAATCATACAATTTACACAAAGCTGAAGAAATACTAAAAGCATTTTGGAAACAGTTCAATTTGAAAGATGCAGTGAACAATCTCGGAGGATTATAACTTCAAAAGTTGGGCACGATTGTGGGATGGGATCAGAAAAAACAGATTCATTTGTGTGAGCCAATGATCAAGAAAATAACTCAAATGAAGAGAACATTACTACATAGATTGCAGGCGAAGAACAGTTAAGTTAACTGCAAAGAATCTTATCCAAGATGCAGTGAGGAACAATATTGAAAATGTAGAAGAATATTCTCAATCATACGATGAAGTGAATCTAGAAAAAGTAAAACATGCAAATACTACCAACTTGTTCTCATTAAGCATCAGGTGGGCTGATAGAAAAAGCTACTGTTGTAGCTACTAAATGAGATTTTGCCTTGGGCGCAAGTTCAAACATCACCACACTTTTTTCAAACCTGTTTTTTTTTGCCATTTTTCCCTACAAGTCAAGTAGACAGTTTCAAATGCTGTTGCTATCAAGTTGAAGCGATTGTGACATGAAGCTGATAAGAGCAGATATTATTTACTGCTCCGAGTCTTAGGTCAGAGGCTCTGAGCTTGATGAAACTGATTTCCACTAATGATATGTAATGGAAAATTTCAATTTCTTGACGTTATCTTGTTGTCTATTGCCTTCAGAAGGTATATGTACAGAGACCTTTTTTTTTAATGGGATTTTGTACACCAACTCAAAAAGAAGCTCGATTTTTTTTGCATAAAATCTCCAACCAAAAAAACCGACAAAAATTTCCAGTGGGTTCAGTGCCTCACCGGTTTCAAACAGCTGATCATTCCGGTTAATTTTGGAACGGACGATCAGGTTCAACCGGTAAAAAGTCAGTACTTTGTAACGGTTTGGTGAGTACACTAATAAACCGGTATCGCACCGGTTCAGAAACCGGTAAATTCTGGAAAGTGTCCTACCTGTCTTTAACTGTTTTGGAAAAATTGACAGTTAAAAATTGACTTTTTTGCAACTTTGACAGGCTGAGAGGCTCTAAAACCTAAACGGTCAATCTTAATATCATTAGACACCAAAGGCGATTTTCAGCCTGGAATGATTATTCATTGGTAAATACCGTTTTTATTATTTTGGTTGACAACTTTGACAGCCAAGTGTGACGTCATAGCCCTCCACCACTCAAGAATCATAACCCAAGGAACTGACCGCTGAAATGATTTGGTTATAGGAGTGTAGGGCTATGTTCTTTATTCTTATTTGTTTTTTCGTTTCAACAATGGTTTCTTGTTTAAGTACAAAAAATGCAGCGGAATCTCTAGTTAGTCTGGTTTATCAAAATCTTGTTTCGGAATGACCTAAACATGGTCTGTTGCAGTGAGGAGTGTATATTTCTTCCATTGGGCCAGGTCACAACACAACTGCAAAATCACAAAAGACCAATACCAATCCCCAAAATAATAACAATAACATCAAAAAGCTGTAACCAAAAGATTAACCCTAGTCCAAATCTGGGTTATAATCAGTTGTGTGGTAGTGGTAGATAAATACCAAAAGTAAATCAGCTGATCTGTGACGTCACAACTTGCCCTCTTAATAATGAAACCAGGCTGGAAATCGCCTCAACTTGGAATTTAACCGAAGATAAATTTCAACCAGAATCTTTAATCATGGATTAAATTCACAGTTGGTGTGGAATGATACTTTATGGAAGACTGATGGCCATTTGCACCAACCATTTTATGGGAGGTTCAACGATAATCAACGCTTGAAGTGAAATTTTTACATGTAAAAATCGTGGTAAAAAAATTTTACCCTAAGCGTTGATTATCAGTAAACTTCCCTTAAAATCCTCGGTGCAAATGGCCATAAGAGAAAAATGAAAATAATGTAATTGGTTTTGCTGTAAAATCACCCTTTCAGGTTTGACAGCCTGTCAAAGTTGCATAAAATCAACTTTCAACTGGCAATATGACATTGTACAGGGTGTTTTCTCATATTTTCACCACTTCCTACAGCTTCAGCTATACGCGGTGGAGAAAAACTTCCAACACTTGACTCTGTACAGCAAAAAGGGGCCAAGTGACAATTGAACCATTTTTGAGATACCCGCTATAACATACCCCAACTCATGTTGTGTAAAAAAGTGACAAGCGGCACGTACGTACATAAACTCATGTAGACATGAAAAGTACTGAGGGGTGTTCTACTCTTGCAGTAGGTGTACAAATATCATACATTCATGTATATGCAGTCCATACATTCTTCTGTAGTCCATACATTCTCAGTACAGTTAATGGAATACATGGACTCATGCAGTCATAATACAGTCGCTTGCAATCGTTATAAACTCTGTGGAGTCCAAGATGCAGTCACATGCGTAGCGTACATTCCATATAAGCAGTCGCTGCGAATGGTGCCTGCAATCTTGTTTAAAATTGCTCAAAAATCAATGCAGTCAACTATAGAGAAATTAACAAAATAATGGATGCACGTCATCAAAATGTATGACGTAAGCACGTCGCAATGTTGCCGCATCAACTTCGTTTTACTTTGACAGACCATGTTTTTCATCTTTCCACGTTACCATCTTTGATGCAGTCAATGCAGTCAAATACAGTAGGTGTACAAAATTGCAGTAGGTGTACAAATAATTGCAAATAAATAATAATATACAAAATCGAAGTTTTATTCGAGGTTTTTTTGGTTTTCTCAACAATCTTGTATTTGGCACATGCTCTACAGGCTCGATATGAAAGTTATACGGTAGTATATTTTGACGCCTCTGAAACAAACAAATTCAAATCATAAAATTTTAATAAAAGACCAAATCATTTTTTTTTAATGGAACACCCTGTATATTTTTAGCTCTAATGAAAGTCCTTTTTTGGTTTGGCTGTTTTTGTGCTATTTAAGTTTAAAATTGCATTAACTAAGCTTCATCATTGATATAAGGAACCGTGAAGAGACCTAATTTAGGCTAATGTAAATGCATTATTAAACTTAAATAGCGTAAAAACAGCTTAACCAAATATTAACATATATTGTATAATTGGAAACAGGGGAAAAGGAACTTTCATAGAGCTAAAAATATACAGGGTGTTCCATTGAAAAAAAAATTATTTGGACTTTTATTATAATTTTGCTATTTGAATTTGTTTAAGAAGCGCCAAAATATACTACCGATAAAATTGTACAACTTTCATATTTAAAGTTTTTTTCCACCTCATATAGCTAAAGCTGTAGATGGGGGTCAAAAATATAAGGAAACATCCTGTACATGAAATATGAATAGAATCAAGAAATGTCATAATATACGGGGGGACCATCTTAAAAATAAAGTCGATAACGGTACAGATGTTGTGTTGGAACACAATGTATAAAAAAATTGGTGAGAAAAATTTTAAGCAAAAAAATAAAATCAACTTGTCTGAGGGTCTTTCGGAAACGCTTTGATTTATTTTCACTTGGGAGTCTCTGAAAACAACCTGGCAATCGCTAGGAATCTCCTAGGACTCCATGAGAATCACATAGGACTCCATGGAAATCACATAGGAATCCATTAGCAATCGCTGTAAATATCATCTCACTCTAACCCAGAAATCGCATATCACACATTTTTAATGATACAGCGTTCGGTTCAGTTGTGTATTTGGCTTTAACATTAAGTTTTAGGCAACATTGAGTGCTAGAAAATTTGAAATGAATTTGATATCCCAACGAGTTTCTCAATAACTTAGCCAATAACTGAACCCAAGACTACAAAGAGTTTAGAACTTGAAGAAGAAGAAGGAGATGAAGATTAAATCTGTTCTCACAAAAATCACAAACCAGTCAGAGCGTTTTTTACTGGTGCAAATCGCCAACGACCAGTTTCTTGACTATTTTCAACCAATGAAATTCGGTCTGCCTGGTTTGTGATTTCTGTGAAGTATGACAATGTTGTAGATCATAAAAATGAAAACATAATTCCTAAAACCTCTCTGGATCTGATATGCCAAAAGCAGACACAGAACTTCTATACAAATTGGAGTTTAGCAATTGCGATTCACTACAAATAAGAGATTATTCAGGGGCGGGCTCAACTTTAATTTGGTTATTTTCAGAGAAGCAGGGACGTTCGTCGATCGAGTATTAAGAGCTATGGGAATGTCCCTGAGAAACACACAAAAGTAAAAGTCGGAAATCCAAGGCAATAAAAACTTGGAAAGGGGAAGTAGAATAAATACTAGACAGAGCAAGAAGCAGAGACAACAGCATGTCTGAATCAGAAATAGGTTTGTCAAGTGAAACCCTATATGAAGATGTCTCTGATTCAGTGAAATAAAAAATATACATTATTTTACATCCATATTATGCAGTGTAGACACGCAATGGTTAACAAATATTTATACCTAAAGCAAAATCGGTGTGGGTGTGACAAACATGAAAATGAAAGTTGTTAACTTTTGGAAGAGTTACAAAAACAGAAGTTGCCAATTTTTCAGTGGAAACGTGTTTTTATAAGAGAAAAGACTTTATTTTGGTTATATCAATGCGAAGATTAACAATTAGACATTGTTTTCATCGAGGTTTTCATAATAAAATTAGCTGAAAATCAGATGATTGAAGGAAATCATCGAGGAAATCAGATAATCAATTGGGAATGATATAGGAATCCCCAGACAAAATGGAAATCACTGATAATCATACAAAAGTATCAATTCTATCTAGCAATTCTTGGGCTGGGAATACATGAGACTCATTGATCAGTGATTGCCAAATATGGAAATCATTGTACGTTTGTAAGCATAGTGGTTGACCCCTCGGCATGAAAATGTTGACAAACCAAAAGGACAATAATGGAGCAAATAATGCTGAACTCTGAAATAAAAAGCTAACCAGAGAACATCAAAAATCGACCATTTAAAATTGAGTTGCAGCAGGATACCTTGGACAATCGAGACCATAATATGACGGACTAAACCAACCTCAAACTAACTGCAAGCTTACACTGGCACCAAGTGACCCAAACTTGAGTTTGCTAGTGAGGATGGGAAGAAATCTATAACCAAAGATGGATTGCTCAGAAAGAGTCATTGAAATCAGCATAAAAAAAAGTATGTTAAAATAAAGAAATTGTCTTTTTAAATTTTTGAAACTACTTTTTTTAATATCTCAATCCCATTATAAAAAAAAAACCATTATCGGCTGCTACCCAAAGTTGATGAATGCAGAATTAAAAATGTTTTAATGGTAAGAAAGATGATGGGCAAAATTATAGTATAGCACATGTATCTATTTCCACTAATAATGTTCTTGCAATAAATAAAAGTAGTAGGTACAAAAACTAATAATTTGTTTATATTAGTCTTTCTTGTAATCAAGGACGTCCAAAGTAGTGGCGAGATTAGGCAGGACTCCAATAACGAGGAAGGACTTGACAGGACAATTTTTTTTAGCAGGCAATGCTTAAATTCGCTGTTCAAAATCGAGGATTGTAAGAGGCCCGTTATATACAGTGTGTCCCACTTTTCATGAATACACCCCGATATTTCAGTTATTATTAATGTGATTTTATTCAAATTTTGGTGGTGATTGCATGCTAGAAAAATGAACTATTTGACATAGTGTTGGGGGGTAAAAGGGGTTGTATTTTTGGGAAAAAGATATTAGAGCTTACTTTAGATATTTTTTTTGTATCAGATTAAAATTCAGCATCCCCAAAAACCCCTTAATCGAAATGTATTTCCAAAATCTGAGGAGCTGATTTTACCAAAAAAAAAATAGATATCTAATTCACTTTTTCTAATAAGTTGTTTATTTCTTATTGTGATGACCAAATTACAGATGACATTATTTTAGAATATTGTATTTTCAACATAGATACCTTCTAATTAAAAATAGACAGCTTGTTAGAAAAAGTAAATTAGAGTAAATATATTTATTTTTTTGCTAAAATCATCTCTTGAGATTTTGAAAATATGAATTAAGGGGTTTTTGGGGATGCTGATTTTTAATCTGATACAAAAAATTATCTAAAATAAGCCCTAATATCTTTTTCCCAAAAATACAACCCTTTTTTACCCCCCAATACCGCACGCCAATGGTAAATGAAAATGTTTATATGTCGAATAGTTCATTTTTCTAACATATAATCACCACCAAAATTTGAAAAAAATCGCATTATTAATAACTGAGATATCAGGGTGTATTCATGAAAAGCGGGACACACTGTATAATATCAGGAACTTTGAATAGTTTGAATACTAGTATTTTCAAGAAATTTTTGATTCTTGAGTTAGAAATATGGATTAGTTTTTTAGGGTAATAAAACACACACAGAATAATAAGATAAATATTTCTTTTTATTTATTTGTAGTAAAAAATCATAATTGTTTTTAGCTCCAGCAGCATCGATTTTTGCATTCATGTGTTGACTTGTTCAAAAAGTTTCCAATATTAGAACAAGTTTAACCAAGGATTTCAAATAATCAAAGTCCAGGAACAATTTGCGCAATCTCTGCGCAACATAAAGACGCAGGACAGGATATTTTATTTGCCATTTTTCATTCCTTTATTTTTGTTTAAACAGTGGCTGCACCATAACTGTACATTGCAGTGCATTTTTTTATATTAGGTTCTTAATTAGAGGTTTCAATGTTCGCAATTATATCAATAATCAAATGTTTGTAGTTTATTTTTTGGTGCATACACCCAAAAAATAAAACCTGAATTAGATCCAGTAGCATACTCACAATAGAAGGCTAGTCAAAATAGGGTGCATTAACAACAAAATATTTGCATACCTACATTAAGCATTTTAATCTATTTATTATTACAAACCTTCCCAGAATATTTGAATGTGTATCTATTATTCTGAGGTTGTAATTAGTCTGGGTTCAGGGATTATTACAATGAAGAAATATTTTGAAATATGCTAATGCCGCCTAGGTAGAAAATCAATAATTTGCATCTGAGCGAATATTAGCATATTGTAGCCAGCCAACACCCTTTCAAGGTTTCTATGAAATTGCATACCTGGGATTGTGAGGTTAATGTGCAAATTATATGATAACTTTTTAGAAAAAAGTTATTTATAAAAAATATAGACAATCATAAATGAATTAATATGATCAATATATTTTCTAAATTGCATACAGGATAATGATATCAAAAATAATAAACAAAAACAGCAATAATACTCTTAGTTCTCAGAACACTCGAAAGTATTATCTAGAGTAAACGAATAAGATGGAATTTGCTCAACCTGAAACAAAAGTAATAAAATGAGCCTTACAACAATTACCACGCCACAAATTCCGCATTTGTTGGTCAAGGTTAAAAGTAGAAATCAATGAGAAACAAAATTTCAGACGAAAATTGCGCAACTAACTACGTACTGAATATATTTCCCATTATAACCCTAATTTACCTATATTGATTGAGGGAGAAAAGGGGGCCATGAGCATGTCTTTTTTTCATTGAAAAAAGATCAGGGATACCTACACTTTTAACTTTTGTCCCATGTCCTGTATGAAATTAGCGGCCTGTTGTCTGCATTGTAATTCCTTATAGGCGTCGAAACCACATTTCCTTGATGGTGTATTTTCCAACTGCTCTTTAGTAAAATACCATTTATCGCTACAACTACCAGGACTAGGGCTCGGGCTCGGGCCTGCCATTTACACTTACACGACACGAAAATGTGGTCAGTGAAATAGATGGCGCTACGTTTTATTATTATAGTGAAATTTCGATTCATTGAATAGTAAATTTACAATTGAAAAGCATCGCTTTTTCAAATAAATGATCACGCCTATTTAATGGGACTTTTGTCAATCACTAGCACGAGTTTTGAAAATGTAATAAAGTCCCTTTGATAATCGTGTATGCGTCACTTCTATATTGGGATTTCCACGAAGTCCAACTCCCGTCACAAAGTTAGTGATTTTAAGTGGTTTTTCGAGAGTTAAATACGAAAAGTTAGTGTGAACGTGTCGAGTACGGTTTGCTTTAGAGTTTGCGATAATTTTTATATGCGAAATAAGGTAAATTATTAATAAATTTGTAAAATACATACACGGCAGTCGTGGAAAGATGTTATTCACTGCTCGATGGCCGACCTACCACGGTAAGTACAACTGTCAACACTGTCTATTTTCTACTAAATATTTTTCAAGTATTGGCACTAGAAAGTGTCCGTTAAATCACTTTTTAATTTAAAACACACAAATTCCCATCAAATAAGGCCGAATAGTCACTCAAATGCTTTAAAGAAAACATTAAACTGCCTAAAAATCATTTTGGAGGTTGACACTTTTGACTGACAAGATAACGGAAATGGGTTAGATTATTCTCAATTCTCATTGGTCGACCTCGTTGTAATTAAGGCGGGAAGTACGAACATCTAAATCTGATTGGGTGGGAGCTTTACCTGTACGCCATCTGGTGCCTTATCGATTTAATTGTTTGAACATAACCCGAAAAAAAAAAAAAAACACAAAACAAATTATAAATAATAATAATTATGAATTTTTCAGCAAATAGTGGAATATTTTAAATAAAATAATAATGTCCCGAAATGAACAAGTCCTAAGGGCTCAAGTGAAGATGGAACTGAAGGATAAAAGGCGATGCGCCTACCAGCCCTACGAGTGTTCCCATTTGAATGTGGAGGGCTCCAAATATTGTTTGAAACACATATTGCAAGACAAAAATGCCGCCTTCAGGCAATGCAATTTCTTCTATCAGAGCAGCGGCAAAAGGTGCCATCGGGCAGCCGCCAAGAAGGAGAAAAAAGAACATGGGTAAGCAACATAATCATTGATATAATTATTGGATTTATAACAATTTACATAATCAGTTTTGATGTGGATTCAGTTCTATTTACTTTTTCAAAATGCAGATTGTTTTAAAGACAAATTGAGTTTTTGAGCTTGGGGCTGCGATAATCAATGTCAACAAACACAATACAGGAGGTGGAGAGTTTAGGTCCATCAAAGAGGGACAAAGCTATATTGAAAGATAACTCGGATAATTACTTATTTATTTATTTAGAGATACACTTTCCAAACACCCCTCTTGAAGTAATTACAGGAAAAGGAGCAGTAAAAACAAAAATGTTAAATAAAGAATAAAGCACAGCCAAGTTCTGAAAAATAATACTTTTCTCAAGCACTTCCTGAATATGTTTGAAACTCAAACTACAAAAATCAGGCACCAAGAAGTTGTTTATAGTCAACATATTGCTGATCAGGGAGATTTTATTATAAACATAAAACAAATCTTTATTCACAATTCTCAGCATAGCCTTTGGTACTTTAAACTTAATATGATTTACAATAAAACAATCTCTGTACCTAACATTATCAATAATACAGTATATAAACAATAAATATTGCTTGTCTCTCTCTCCTTGTAGACAGTTTTTCTATATTAAAACCTATTCTGTCCAACTTCAACAAAACATAGTAACTCAAGTTCTCGCTCAAGTTACTAGATTTTAGAAAATTATTGCATTTTTAAATTCAGCAGGTAAAATTACATATACTTACTAATTTTTTTTCTTTTTTTTTCTGTCTTTATGGTGGCCTCGTAACTAGCATCTCCATTTCTAGTAACTTTTAAAATGTTGTTATACTTAAAGCAAAACCTAGCAGATTGAGCTACTACCTCGGTTACTACCAACAATATTTAAAATATTCATACATATACATTCATTAAGAGGTAGTAACTTGAGTTACTATTTTTTACAGAAGCATTTTCTTCACATTCCCTGTAAAATGGCGGTAGATTATTCAAGGTACTAGCTTTTATATAATTATTTTATGTCCATTTACATTCAGGTTTGTATTCAGCAGAACATGTTACCACAAGCTACTATTTTATTTTCACATTTTCAGAGCGATTGGCAGTTACTATTCGAATGTACTAGATTATTTTAAGTGTTCAGAGTGTGTGATTTTTCTACAGCTGTAGACGTTGCATCCTATGTGACTTCTTCTTATTATAACGTAGTTAAAAAGTTCAGCACCAATGTAACCAAACTGACTTTTTGGGTAGATAACCATAGGCGCCGGAACTTCAAAATTACTATGGGGGCTGGGGTTCCAAAAAAAAAACACAGGTAAAATTATACAGACAAGACCACTAAGCTACTAGACACATAGGCTTAAATGGGACCAGGTGACTAATACACATTCACTGCAGGATCGCCACGCTGGATCATCCGACTTTCTGAAAATACAGCTTTAAATACCAAAATACCTACTACACAACAAAATATTTAAAGTCTTTGTTGAAGTAGGTATAGCAAAAACAACAAAAACATAAAACACATAAATTTGACATAAAAAATAAATAATTAGGATTAACTCAATATGTTTATAATTTTTGTACAGGGTGATCTATTATAAATGTCACCTCCTCCTAACTTTATCATTTGACGTTTTTGACAAAAGTTTCAAGGTCAAAAGTTTTTAACTAAGGCAGTATCAAGCATACAGGGTGCGGAAAACAGTGTAGCAGAGCGAACTTATATTTTTTTAAATTAAACACCATGTATATTGTGCACTTATTTGTTAGCAAACTGATTTCATATGGTTTGATATGTTTATATTCAATAGTTATAAGAAAAAATGTGAAAACCCCTTCCAAGGTTTCATGTTGAGAAGAAAGAAAAATTATAGATACCATTGAATAGCTTTAGAGAGAATTATTTAATATGAACAATATATTGTTCAAATGTTATTAATTAATTTACAAGGTGAAATCGAGGGTGAAACATTAAAATAAATTCAGTTTTCTTAAATTATCAGGGTGTCCCATTTAGAAAAATATAACTTAGCTCTGCTACACTTTTCTGACGCACCCTGTAGGATGCTTAAAAGTAACGTAAAGTTTGTTTCACCAGGGTTTGTACTTGCCACCAGTATTTGCCTTCCCTGTTTAACAAATAAAAATTGACTGAAACAAATCAATGACGTCAAAAACGTTCGTCGGTTCTTGAATTAGAAGTCATTAATTTTAATTTGTCAAAAAAAATGAATGTGTCATATGAATTATTCTACGACAACCCTTTTTTTCAAGTTTCAAGGTCAAGTATGAACCCTGGTGAAACGAACCTTAGTTGAAAACTTTCAACAATTTCTGAAAGCTTCTGTATTTGACTCTTCTGTCAAAAGGATCAAATGAAAAAGTTAGGACGGGTGACATTTATAATAGATCACCCTGTACCTACCTACTAAACTCACTACATATAATACCAAAATCTCTATGGGGGCTCTGCCCCCATAGCAAATTTACTATGGGGTGCTCGTGCACTACATGCACTCGTGCTCTTTTTCAATTAAAAATGTATTCGAGCAAATTTCCCAAAAATTATCAATAATTTTCATGGCACTAGTTATATTACCATTGAGAATTTCATACATCTGTCAAAACTGGTATTCCAACAATAAATTGACATGTTTTGATTGTTGATTTTACCAATCAGATTGTAATTACGCGATAATTTGCACTAGTGCAAATTATCAGATAATTGCATACTAACTGGTGTGAAAACTGGTCTTTTGACATTTTATGACAAAAAATTTAAATTTTTGATTTATGAAATTCTCTCATTAAATACAACTCGTGCAATGGAAATATACGGGGAAATATATTTATAATTTTCGACAAAGGACCCCGCAATATTTAAATGTAAATTGGTTACCCGTGATATTTGGATGAAATTTAAATATGTTATTGGGGATGCCGTAAGCAACATTTTTTACCATGGGCACAACCCTGTATATATGACAGGTGAGGCGTGATTAGCTGTCAAATATTGGAATCTTATATCCGAAAGCAGAGGTATTATGGCAGATTTTGATGAACAAAACATCTATTTCTGCTAAGTCGACCAAGTTAAGTCGAAAAATGTCAACCATTTTGACACCTGTCAAAACCCTGCCAAACGGCAGCACTCATCTTTTCCAGTTTTCAATATTTTATGATGTCATCTGACATTTTTAACTTGTATGTAAATTCTGAATTCAAAAATTGAAAAAAAAATGACAGAACTGTCAAAACCTGTAATTTGTTTTAGTAGGAAAAAATACTCTTATCTTCTTCTTTCTCATTTTAAGGTAGTTTATTGGTGATAAAACATTGAAAAAAGTTCATGCACGTCACATTTTGACAGCTGTCAGAATCTGTCAATAGCTTTAATTCAAAAAAGAATCAAATTATAGTACTGAATATTATAATGATTTTATTAAAGTACTCAAAAAAAAATCGCAAGCACCTATAGAAAATCCTTTATACTAAAACTACGTACTTTAAAATGAAGATCGACATCTCTGTCAAATCTGAAACCTGAGTATGATGTTTTTTTATGCGTTATCATGAATAAGCCCAACTTAATTTGGAAAAGAACAAGATTTGATTATTTTTTGAATTAAACCTATCGACAGATTTTGACAGCTGTCAAAATGTGACGTGCATGAACTTTGTTCAATGTTTTATCACCAATAAACTACCTTAAAACGAGAAAGAGCCAGATTAGAGTATTTTTTTTCTACTAAAACAAATGACAGGTTTTGACAGTTCTGTCATTTTTTTTCTTCAATTTTTGGATTCAGAATTTACATACAAGCTAAAAATGTCAGGTGACATCATAAAATATTGAAAACTGGAAAAGATGAGTGCTGCCGTTTGGCAAGGTTTTGACAGGTGTCAAAATGGTTGACATTTTTCGACTTAACTTGGTCGACTTAGTAGAAATAGATTTTTTGTTCATCAAAATCTGCCATAGTTACTCTGCTTTTGGATATAAGATTTCAATATTTGACAGCTAACCATGCCTCACCTGTCATATATACAGGGTTGTGCCCATGGTAAAAAATGTTGCTTACGGCATCCCCAATAACATATTTGAATTTCATTCAAATATCACGGGTAACCAATTTCCATTTAAATATTGCGGGGTCCTTTGCACTCATGCGTTTTTAACTGTTTTCCATTGCACTAGTTATATTACTATTGACAATTTTCAGTAAGTTATACAAACAATGTTAGCAACTAAATTGTGACATAATATAGAACATGAATAACTAACAATTCTCTAAATCATTAAAATTGTTGGTGGTATATTCCTCTATACTAAAAAAAGCTGAAGCTCTTAATTAAATAATTTTTAATTTTATTTTTGAAGCAATTCAAATTTAGCATTCTAATGGTGGTTGGTAACACCTTATAGAATTTGGGACCATACAAGGAAATTCCCGTTTGTATTTTATGTATTCTATGGTAGTTTGTATAGAGGTTGTCCCTATTCCTGGTGAGATGTTGATGTATGTCCCGGGGTATGTCCTCATGGGTCTGGTAGTCATTGATATTACACCTGACATGAATCAGGCAATGATAGGCATATAAGGAAGGCACCGTTAATACCTTTGATTTCACAAAGTCATTCCTACACTCCGCTCGATAAGTTCTATGACACAATATTCGAATCGCCCTTCTCTGAAGTGCAAATACTCTTTGTGCTTCTGCCGCATCTCCCCAGACCAGAATTCCATATGATATTTTTGACTGGACACAAGCAAAAAAGATGGCCCATGCTGCTTGCTCGGAAACACTCTCCATCATTGTTCTGAGTGCATAGACTCCTGATGCCACTTTGGCACATATGTTATTGACATGTGGAATCCATGTCAACTTTGCGTCAATACTCACCCCCAGGAACATAACTGGCTCATTATGCAGCAATTCAAATTCTCTAGTGGATAATATTACTAGGGCGCTATTTTTTGATTCATTCATGCTCAATTTATTCGCTGAGAACCAATCAGTAACCCTCAACTGTGTCTCCTCCAGACTCCGTCTGAGTGTTTCAAAATCCTTGGCCTTTCTAATCAGAGTCGTATCATCAGGCAACAATATCAGCTCAGAACTGGGATCACACCCCTCCAAATCATTTCTGTAGATCAGGAAGAGCAGTGGTCCCAGCACTGACCCCTGAGGAATACCATATTCTAGTTTAGTAGAAGATGAGCGTTTATCCGCTACGCTTACCACTGGCGACCTTCCTGTAAGATACGACTCTAATAAGCCCATACTTTCAGGCGCAAATCTGTTTTGTTGCAGTATTATCAGAAGGAGATCAGAGGAGACACAGTCGAAAGCTTTGCTTAGATCACAGAACAGAGCCCCACTATATTCCCCATTTTCAATCCCCTCATTAACCCTTTCTATGGACAAATTGATAGCACCAGTAGTAGACTTCCCACTCCTGAAGCCAAACTGCTTAGAACTAAATAAATTTTGACTCTCAAAATAATTGGTTATTTTATTTTTGAGTGCCTTTTTGAAAATCTTGGAGAAAACTGGGACAATTGATATAGGACGGTAATTACTCAAATCTTCCATTTCACCTTTTTTATATATTGGCACAACCCTGGATATTTTTAGAACTGATGGAAAGACTGCATCTCTTATACACAAATTTAACAGCTTCGTAAGAGGATAGATAATAATATTAACAAGTGATTTTATTATTTTAGAGTTCTTTCCATAAAAATCCTTGCTTTTTTTATTTTTTAATTGTTTCACTATGTCTCTAACTTCATTAATTGATATGGGAGTGAAATTGAAAACTGTGTCCGATATACCTATTTCTTTGTTTACATAATATTGTGGAGTATTTATAGCTGTAGGTAATTTACTAACAATTTGGGCTGCTATATTAGCAAAATAAAGATTATAGTCATTTGGAGAGAAATTATCGCTGTTTTGAAGGCATTTTTGTTTTGTGATATTAGAGTTTTCTCTCACCAACTCTCATATCGTTTTCAGGTTGAAATTATGCTTTTGTAGATAGGAAAAATGAGCCTTTTTTTTTGCTTCTTGTATGGAAATTTGGTAATTTCTTTATAGAGACTGTTTTAATTGTGCCAGAATAGGACAATTCCTCTGTTTGGCTGCTTCTGAAACAAATTGCAAAAGTTCCCTCTGTTCGCGCAGACTATCATTTTACCATTTAATGTATTTTTTATTATGAGTGATTTCAATTTCCGGAAAAGCTAATTCAATATTATTTTTGAGAAGGTTGACAAAAAGAGAGAATTTGTCATCAGTTGACATTAATCCTGAGTTTACAAAATCTCAATCCCTCGAATCAACTTACTCATACAGATTGAAAATGCCCTGCTCTGTGACTGGTCAGCTTTTATGAACCTTTTCTGTATTTTTTAATGAATGCTTCAAAGTTATTTCTGTATAATATATAGTAGTAGATAGTAGTATATAATATAGTATTATTGACTAATATCATTCTAATATGGAAAATAAAAAGTAAGGATTAAACTGCCCTCCTCCTACTAACCAACTGAAGCTTGAAGGTCTCCATTTAAAGCCTTGTTTGAATCATTAATTACTTATGGTCTTCCTATCTGGAGTGGGGGTTATGAATGCAAATATGAAAATCTGAAAATACTCCAGAAATGGGTTCTGAAAGTGATTCATGGAAAACCACAGAGATTTCCGACAAGTGAACTATTCAAAGAAACAAGACTTTGATACATTATATATAATGGCATGTGTACTCTTTGTTCATAAGAGGGGGGACATTAAAAAAATAAGTCATAATCACGCAACAAGATCAATCCAAAACCAAAACTATAGCACCCAACAACCTAAAAACTGTACATTTATCAAGTTTATTGATTACACAGGCATCAAGCTATACAATACTTTACTCTTGCAAATTAAAAACATAAATAACTTGAGTAAATTTAAAAGTGAAAGCAGATTATTTGTGATGCAAAATATAGATATATTTAAGGGCATTTTGACATAGGTCTTTGTGGCATTTATGGCTCTACTTCCTGTTGTCTTTAACTTCTGGTCTGTTGAGTTTATCCTATATCCTAAATTAACTTGTTTTTGTTTATTTTATTTTATTTATTTTTTTGTTATATTTTACAATTGAACTCTGTTCAACTACTTGTATTTACTGCTCGACATCTTAAATTATTATACTGTAAATTGTGCTACCGTTGAATTATTTTTTTTGCACAGGCAAGTTCATTTGAACTTATGTGCTTTTTAGCTTTAAATTATTGCAATTGTATTTTAAATGAATGAAAATAAAGAGCATTTTTGTATTTTGTATTTGTATACTTCCATATGACACTAGCATAGGGAATAGGATATACATGATATTGTTTGAAATACAAATATCTCGAAACCAGGTACTACATGCATACTCCAAATGAGGCCTGACAAAGGCATTATAGAGCTTTATCAAGACGCGGAAAGATAGGAAAGTCAATGGAAATACTGAACTTTGTAAAATCTATGTTCTGGCACAAAACAAATAAACCACCCTGAAGAAGGGAACAGCGTGTGCAAGCTGAGTGCAAGCTCTAGAGTTGTAAAAAATTAAAGGATTCTTTCCTTCTCAAGTTAATGTCTTATATTCTAAAATCTAGCTTTATTAGACATTCTTATACCCTGCAAGTTTTAAACTGTTACCGAGTGCATTTTTTTGAAATATCTAGATGCTTAGAACTTCAGCCACGAATTAAATGATTAAATGAATGTCTCATCATAGCCTTAAGTCTAGCTTAATTAGACCTCTGACTATTTTGCGAGTTTACACGTGTTACTTAGGGTATAAAATGAGTAATAAGTCAAATGTTTATGTAATTGTGTTATAGCACCTGGAAATTTCTAAGCATAGCATTTAATAGTTCTTATTTCAGGCAATAGAACTGATTCCAAATCACCATACTGCAACTACTGTTATCATTTCTTAATGTCTTCAATTTTCGATCTACTAATTACCAAATTATGTTAATATTTAGATCTTACAGCTATTGCAGCGAGCATTCCATAAAAGCAGCTTTACAAGTTAACAAAAAACAATCCGCCAATCGACCACCTGTAACTGCGGAATCTTTGCTGAGCAATCTAACTCTCTATCTCAAGCAGCAAAAAAAATCTTCTAGTCATGAAAATGCAGAAGACCAAGGCACAATTGTTGAGCCTCCTGACCCGACTGGTTAGTATAAAGCTATGTTTTTATTTAAAAATATTGATTTTTTTATATTAGCTTTTGATGTGACCACTATCTTTAATGACCGCTGTAAAGAAGTCCTGGACATGTGCAGTGACTCAGAAAGTGACGTTGAAGCTGCTACTAATGCTGGAGTGTGGCATGATGCTCAGGCTGATAGTTCAGACAATGAAAGTATTGACTCTGAACAGGAAGATCCTTTGAAGTAAGTTTTTGGTTCTCATTGTTTTGTCAGTTGCTAACAGGTTTTTTATAGGCACGCAAACGTGTATACGTCAGAAGAAATCACTTTTAAGGCAAGAGATCAATTGATAAAGCTGCATAGTCACTATGTTGAACAGTTTGATCATTTGCACAATCAGATGAGGGAAATAAAACGAAATTATATTTATAATCTCAAGAGGGAAAAGGAAACTTGCTGTAAGAATTATTGAAATATGTATATTGAAAATGTGTTGATTGTTTTTTGTTTAAGGTAATATCTATAGCCAAATTCGTGAACATCCAAAAGAACAAAGATTATACAAAAAATTGAAGCGTTTTGGTAATTACAATAAATCTTCTGGTGAAGATGCCATCAATACTAGGCGTTTACATGATTTAAGAAAGGTATAAAATTATTATAATTTAGCAAAATATACTAATTGACTAGTTTTTAGAGGATGCGAGGTGTAAAGTCCTATTTCTCCCGGTGTTTATTTACAGAAGATGGAGTGAAATGTTGTCAAAAACCCATTTATCTGGCAAAACATTGCCGGAAACATATAACAGAGGATGCAAATCAAGCGCTTTATGTAGCTTGCGGAAAAGTCAATTTTGACGTCAAATGTAATCTGGCCCTTGAAGGTCTTTTTGAAGACAGTGCTTGCAAAATTCATAAGGTTTTTCCCATGATAAGATCTTATAGCCAAGCAAGAGTAAGTAGTAATCGTTATTTTACGTTAGTTTATATTTCTAATTTATTTTAAATTTGAAATAGACTTCTCTAGGAAATAAACTTATAGAGGTGAGCAGGTTTTTTGGCCTTATTAGATTGACATTTTAGTGTGTTTTTTTGTATATGTATACATATTATTGGTCTCAGATTTCCAATCTGCATCTACACCCATATAACATGGGTTCATCTCTCTATCCTGTCATGCATTTTTTTCGAATTGAAATACTACAGGTTCTTATGACGTGATTTTCAATTTGTTCCATAAAGAAAGACTCTGAATCTGATCCGGATGATACATTGGATCTACCCCCTCATTTCGCTATGCCAACATCTGACAGCATCAAAACTGAAACAATGGATTATTCCTTATCATCTCTAACAAAAATGGAAACTCTGCCTTCTCTACTATTTGAAGACAGTGCAGAAAGCTTGTCTTCTACCTTACAGGTAAAGGAAGTTGTTTGTTTTAAATTGTTATAAATTGGATTTTTTCTTTTAGTATTCTACTTCGGAATTTACAGAAACTTTTGCAGAACACAATTCGTCTGATTTGCAAGAGAGCAACAATACTGCCAATTCAAATGTTATCGATGATATTGGATTGGCTGAATCAGAGGCAAAAATTGTGGAGGAGACAAAGACAAGTGACGACATATTTCAGTTTAAAATTCAAAATTTCAATGACGAACCAGAATTAGAGCAAAAGCAAGAGGAAGAAGAAACTGTTACAAATAAAGAAACTCAGATTGCAGAGAATAAACAAGAGGAATTGAAGATTTCTGAAGAAACTCTTACAAATAGCGAAACTACAGAGTCTGTTTCTGAGATTGCGGAGAATATTCTAGAGGCAGCAGAAATTGAAACTACAAATATTGATGTGAGTCGTGAAGATTCTTCAAACCATGTTGGGTTTATGGAAGAAGAGAATAAAAGTGATGAAAAAATGGAAGTTGATGGATAAAATTGTTTCATTTAGATTAATAATATAATAAGTAAAGATTAGAGTTGGTAATAAAAAAAAAAAACTAAAAATATATTAGTTTTATTATATTTTTTATTTCCCAATAAGGATTTTGGAAAAAATAAAAATTTCCAAAAAAAAAAAACATTGAGGGAAGTTTAATTTTTATTTTGAGAAAAATGCTTGAGGGTTTGGATTGATATTTTGCAAATGGATACAGATAATATTGAAATACAGGAAAAATAAATAAAATTTCATTCTGCTTGCTCACTTTGATAAAAATCACATCACATCTATCTCACCTCTGGCTTCTAAAGCTAAATAAAATTCAGTACAAATTCCTACAAATAGGATTAACTTTAATTAAATTAAAATAAAACTTCCACTTCAACCATTATAAAATATATTCGTTCGAAATGAAAGCCCATCCTTGTAAGTATTCAATATTTTAAATTTCAATATTTTCAAAATTTTGCCTACTTAGTGCCTGTAGTTGTTTATGGTGGCTACCGATACGAAAATGGAACCATTTATGTTGGATCCTGGAATAATGAAGGCTACAGGCAAGGAGAAGGACATTTACTTTTTGCAGATGGAACTAGATATGACGGCATGTTTGAAGATGGATTATTTAATGGACTAGGAGTGTTGACTTTCTGTGATGGAGCCAGGTAGAAAAATAATTTAAGCTCATCTGAAAAAATTAAAATTACATTTTGCAGATATGAAGGTGAATTTGCTCAAGGTTGGTTTCATGGTTATGGAGTATTTTGTCGTTCCGATGGAATGCGCCATGAAGGGGAATATAGGGGAGGAAAAATTTTTGGTCTAGGCTTGACGACTTTTTCAGACAATACAAACGGTTTTCCTAGAAACGAAGGATTCTTCAAAGAATGTCATTTGAAAAAACGACAACCTTGTCCGGATATTGTTCAAAAAGCGCAAAAGGTGGCTTTTGTAGCTAGGACTAAATTTTTAGATAAGGATTATTGAATATTTTCCGTTATAATTCACAGTGTAATAAATAAAAGACATACCTACATACATATGTTCTTATAATTTATTTATTGTTAAAATTGCCATAATTTGATTAAAATTCTTTAACAAAAACTGTTAAGACAATGCATATATAAAATAGTTGGCATAATGACAATTCATTGTTACATTTTCTTTATTTTTTTGTATGTTTTGTGTTTGTAGTTTCGCCCCTGCGTCTTTTATTTAATGGATTTCTTGGATCATAAATTTCAAACCAATCATCGTCTTTTGTGTTTGCATCTTTAGCCAAGACCAAGCTGTCTGTGAATTGAAGCTTATGATTCAACCTGAAAGTTAAACAAATAAATTAATTAATTTATCAACAAAATTGAATTGTTTTTTGACTAACCAAGTTTCTTCTTTATCGAGATCTTCATTTTTCTGTTTTTCCGCTTCTTTAGCTTCTTCTTCTTCCACTTCTTTGTCCTTGACAGATTGTAACTTTTGCTTGAAACTCTCAAGTAATTTTAGTGTGAATTGTTCTCTTTCGGCCTCTGGAATTTACAAAGCAGCATTTTATATACTTATGTAGATATTTACTCACTTTTTCTTGGAAGGGATTTATTTCTGTTTCTATACACATCAACTTCTTCTTTGTATTGCTTGAAAGTTTCGCTTTTCTCTTTATCATCTTCAGTTTGTTCTTTAGAGTCTGCATCTTTTTTCAGCTTATTTTGGTGATATTCCTTTTTGACAGACTGAATTTCTTTTTTCAATTCTTCCCTGTAAAAATTAACGACAACTGATATTGTTTTGTATTGTTAGTTTAATTTACACTTTTTTTTTTCTTTCCTCATCTCTATCTTTATTCAAATAATAATCTTCCAATGCTGCATCATCGTCGTTGTCCTGACTGGTCTTTGTTGCTGGTTTTGTTACCACTTTTTTGGTTTTTTTGTGACTGGTTTTTAATTTTTTTCTTATACTTTCTAATTGCTGTTCAGCAGTGTCTTCTTCTTCTTTATCGTCATTTTCCTTAGTGTCAGGGGCAACTTGTGTTTCTGAACTAAGTTTAGGATCATCTAAAATATAAATTAAAATAATAATATACTTAAATTGAGACATTCTTACTGAGAACATCATGGGAAGATTTTCCTTTAGAGTTTAGCTTCCCACTTTCTCTGGTAGATATTTCTTCATCTTCTTCCGCTTCTTCACCAAATGACAATAACTTGAAATTCCTAAAAATCAATTGTTGTTTCTGAATGACTGCTGATGCTTGTTGGTTCATTCACTAATACAACAGACTTATTAAAGCTTTGGTACTATTGGCTAAAGCTAGATACAAGCCCAAACGTTCTTTACATTCAATATTTTTTCCATTTAGTACTTTAACTTTGTGCCTACGATTTTGATTAGGTATAGGATATTAGAGGGAATTGAAGATGTTCATGAAAGTGTTCAAAAATATAGACCATTGCTGGTTGACATTCTAATAATCTGTAATAGTATGCTTAAACTAAAACTACTTACTTAACTCCTGGTTGTTTTTCTTTCTTCTTCTTCTCTTTAGTTTGTATTTCCTTTACTCTAGGTTCAATATCAGAAAAAGGATTGCTCAACACCTCAGTTTTAAGAATTTTATAAGGGTACATGGGGGTTTCATCTTCAATTATACCCTCAGAAAGCTTAATCATATTAAATAGAGTATCACCGACAACTTTTCCAAATATAGTATGTTTATTCTGCAATTCTGGAGTGGCTGCCAGAGTGAAAAAAAATTGCGATCCATTGTCGTCTTTTCCAGCATTAGCCATTGCCAGGAGGCCTCGGCGAGAGAACCGAAGACGCTGATGAAATTCATCTTTGAAAGGTTCCCCGTAAATCGATTCCCCACCAGTACCGTCTCCTTGAGGATCGCCTCCTTGTACTATAAAGTTTTTCACGACCCTGTGGAATGTTGTATTGTCGTAGTATCCTTCTAGGCAAAGCTGTATGAAATTTCTGCATGTTTTTGGGGTTTCTTTGGACCAAAGCTCTATGTCGATGTCTCCAGCAGTCGTTTTCAATAAAACCTAATAAGAATTGGTGTTTAATAAGCTATATAATGTAGTTGAGGGGTTCTACGTACTTTTCCCGACGTAGGTGGTTCTAAAATGTATATATTACTCATTTTTCGTTTAGATTTTCAATATTTGTTTTGCTAGTGGAAATGTAAACAAAAAACCAGGTTAGGTTAGATTATGGTCTCTTCTTTTTTTTGAATCCTGGAAAAAATGTATTTGAGAGAGAGAGATAGCCATATTGCGGGAATCATTTAAACATTTAGCGGCAAAAGTAGAGAGAATCCGTTATCGAATGCTATTTTGATAATTGGTTGAAAACAGACAGAAACAGTCAGAAAACTAGTACCAACCAATGAAATTCACTCTTACTGATTTGGGATTTCTGCAGAAACAGACCTATTGAAGCCTCAGCACAGCTTAGCCTCAGTCTTCCTTGATTTCCTTTATTTCTGCCTCATTTTTATCAACGTTAATCTCTGCTTCCGATTCTTCTAATAACTCTTCTAAAATTGGGGAATCCTCTGTCCAAGGGTCGCAGTAGGGCATTATCCCACTAATCACCCTGGAAGAGAAAAGTACCTAATCAAAGTTTGGATCATATCCATGGCCATGTCCAGTAATTTGTGCCTTGTCCACCATTCTCAGTCATTTACACAAAAACATCTTTGGATTTACAACAATACTTACATCCAGCTTACAGCATTCTATTCCAACAGTACCTATACATATCCAAAACCCAGCATTCAATCTCACAACAGTCTACATCCAAAATTTTCCCTGGGTCATTCATCCCTCACACAACACAACTCATCACTTCCTCCATTAACGCACTTTTAGAAAGCCAAGTCAAAAAAAAAAGTTAATGATGAAAATAGGCGCGAAAGATTATCTGGAAAATTTCAATAGTTCTAATTTTTAGACACTCTGTAAAATGTATTTATTGCCCATAGTTAATAGAGGATCAAATAAATCACTATTTAAATTTAAAAAAAAACAAAAATAAGATAGTTCTGGATTATTCCAGACTCAGACAGCAAAAGGTTGTTCATCCAAACTCAATAACTACTTACCAAAATCCAGAAGTCAATTGGTACACTATGGACACACGACGCGATAATCGGAAAATAGCGGTCGAAAAATCTTAACTTGTGTGAGAAAAATTGATAATGCCTGGACGCGACTGACGGTACTCATCTATCGGCGATTCGTACTCGACTAAATCTAATTCCCTTTGTCTTGTCCGACGAAGAAATCCGAATCTCATTAACCCAAAAAAAAAGGTAAACAGATAAGGTAATAAATATGAGTAAGTGTGATAGGCAAAAAAAACTAACTGCGTAGTAGAGTAGACCCTGACGGCAAGCGTAAATTACCTATGTGCAAATTTCAATTTTTGGATGTTTCTTAATTTTGACTTAAGAAATCGATAGAGCGAGTCCAAATTAGTCAGAAACAACTCTAACATCAAATACATTTGGAAATCTCAATGAGAAACAAAATCCATCAGAAGGAAATTTTATTTTTAATGGCTCTGGAGTACTCTGGACATTTTTTGAAATCTTGACATGCTCATGAATAATTGCTTATATCTTCGATTAAACTAGATATCATTGAAAAGAGCATTACATTATCTATAAGCCTGTGCAAAATTGTTTTTGTAGCTTGTAAAGTTTCCAAGATATTGAGCCTCAAAATGGACATTTAGTAAAAATTTTGTCCAAAACTTTTAATTCGATTTTCTCAAAAACTATAAATGCTAGCGAATTCAATTGAACATCATCTGAAAGCACTTTTCAAGAGCTACAATTCCTGAAAATTTTGGTTCCAGAATTGGTTTTGGTTACCGAGATATTTATAAGATTGAAGATTTCCAAATAAAAATCCATTCTGTCATAAAAGTTTCAAATACACATCGGAAAACTTTGAAAGGTCATAACTTTTTTTCTATTATAGATAGAAAGCTGAATCTTTCACTGGATTTTATCCCTTTCAAAGGACTACAATCCCTGAAAATTTCAGCTCATTTGCACTTATAGTTCCTGAGATAAAATCGTGTTAAGCAATTGGGGTGATTTATCAATTTTTCAATTTTTCTGAGTGCCTTTTTTCATGGATTTCGGCTTCAAATCTGAGAATAATTTTGTGTATGGAGTTCAGGGTATCACGAGGGACCATTAGGACACAAAATCTCGACAAAAAAAATTTGAAATTTCATCGTTTTAGTAAGAAGGTAGGTACCACCCTAATTATTATTTTTTTAAGAGCTTATTCCTCCCCAATAGTCTACTGCCGAATGACGAATATAAAAATAGATAAAAGAAGAAAGGTACAATAGCTTATTTACATTACCCTGGTCCCTTATTTCTGACTTGGATATGATATGATTCATCAATTAGGTATAATATTATTGAGATAAACATATTATTGAAATATATACCTAATATTATTGAGATATAAACAAATCCTTCCATCTTTACTTGCTGAAATGCACGAAGGACTTATTTCAGATTGTTTCGGAAATGTGATAAAAAACCTTTTGAGAATGATCATTATTCGAGTGGCAAAAATTGCCAAAACTACTTATTAGTGCAAAACATTTATAATTTTTTTATGTAGGTAGGTAGGTACCCACTGTATACCTACTTATATTATGCATCAGATAATGTACCTATACTGACCTACCGGTATTACCAAAGTTTGGTATTACGATGTAGATATATGTATTATAATTTTTCTAATCAATCCACACTGACCAAATATACGCCCAATTCAACAACGTCAAATGGACGTTTCATAGATGTCTTCATACAGGGTATTTTTTCTGAATGGGTCATATTAGGTTTACCGTGGTAACTTTTGAACCTGTTGGTTCATGTCATGGTCAAATAACCGTCCACTACGTGACGTCCCAAACAAGTCATATTATGCAACCTCTTTTCGACGTCGAATTTTGGTTAATCGACGTAAATCTATTTGAAATCGTCGTCATAACGACTTACCTAAAGTGCGTTTTTTTTTAAGATAAAAGTCAAACTGACATTAGGTTGGCAATACAATGTAAAATTGTCAATGCTTTCAAATTTTTCATGTAGAAAAGGCTTGTGTTGCCAACATAGTTACTAAATTTTTGACTTGGGGAATTATCTTTAAAAAAAAAAAACAGATTTTACCTTTACTTTACTGCTTGGGATGTTTGTTGAAATAGGAAAACAGACCTGCTGTCTGTCTGGTGATTTGAATATAATTTTTTTGACAGGGACAGTACATACAATCAATTGCTGTGTAACTGTTGGATTCTTTTAATGTATGCATTTATGTTGAACATCCAACCAAACTTACGCCTTGGTATATAAAAGGATTTACCGACGTATCTCTGGAAAAATTTTGTGTTCTCTTCAACATAAGAAAATACTCCATGAACAACCAAGATTCTAGACTAGATAACTCCCACGCACAACTCTTTATTTATTTATTTTAATTTGTAATTGAGTGTCTCATTGTTAACTACCTACCTATACTATTTTCTTAACAATTACTATTCTATTAGCTATAGACAATTAGCCTCCTCGAAAATATATAGTAGCTATAAAATCTCAAATTCTCAAGGGCTCTTGAACTGCATTCAATGTAACATTACTCCTATCCTATAGATAATTAAATACAAATTAACGATGATTAGTATTCTATTTAGTTTAAATTAAAGAAAAAAAAAACAGATAAGTTTCTCACTGTGTACCAGTCTGGAAAGATAAGATTTGAATTGGAAAACAGAAAGATACAAAATAATTAGAGACGCAGTGTTGATTTTTTAAATCCAGGAGTAAGTTTATGTGTATAATTTTTGTGTGCAAAGAGTAGAAAATTTGTGATTATGAGGGGCGGGAGATTTGGAGTTGAAGGTAAAGGAATAAAAGAATATAATATCTTGTAGGTATCAAGCAAGAGTTTAGTTATTTTAAACGTATTTTGTAGGTATCAAGAAAGTTAAATATCTGCAAGCAAGAAAAATATCTGCTTTTCATATTAGGTCATATATGGGCAGTTTAACAAAAAAATAATAAAAAGATTACCTATTTTCAAGCAAGAAATATAACCGACATTAAATGTGTAGGTATATAATTCTGTAATCTTCAGAATTTTTTTGATTAAGATGCCATATAAAAATATTTAACAATCTCCTAGTATAACTTAATGACAATCACCAAGATAAATAGTGAAATGGCAAACAATTAAAATCGTTATTATTTGGCAAGTAATTAAAATCGAAATTGTGCATATTATAAATGCACAATAACTTTTGTTATTGTGGTCATTGCCACAGTTTGTGTCTTATTTGGATACCTTATCTGTTTGTTCTTTACTTATAAGAATTGGACAAAGAAATCACAAAAAGTGTTTTTCCTTCTTTGATTTGATTCTAACTTGTAGCTGAAACTTTTTGACATTATTAAAAGGGAGACATATTGTATGAATTCTAAAAATCTCATCCAATAAGTAGTGTAGGTACCTACTATTCTTCACGATTAATTTTTGGTACCTATTACAAAATACCTATCTAAAAAGTAATTTAATCCACAGGAAATTATATCAGATAATGTATAACTGTCTAAGTAAATTATTATACTGCCACGAGTTGTGTAATTTTTAGCTAAACAATAAAGTAAACTTGCAATTTTTTTTTTTTAAATTGAATCTTATGTTTGATTTGGATGAAGGTGATGTGCGCATTAATTTGACTAAAACTTTGTTGTCGTAACTATTTGAGGAAGATTTAAGAGTTTCTTTTGCACTTTGTATTATGAAATAACAATTTAAAACAGACTTAAAATCCTTATTCAAATGGGACTTTTATGGTTCAATTCTCATTAAGATATTTATTCATTAATTAAGGATCCAAAGCTTCACTGACATTTTTTAACTTTTGCATTTTTTCATTCCAGAAGTACCACTACAATCTTTCAGCCCATCATCCTACGAACGAAGAAATTCGAGAAGCCTAAAGGGACCCCTAAGGGTGACACGACTATGTCTGCTTGGAATAGTCGTGCCCACCCTTATTTTGGGGGTCCCTTTATATCTGAGGTACAATGTGTACGGGGCGCAGCTCTACCCTTTGGCCATGTCTGATATGAGAATGATAGATAATAGAGTATCGACTACATGGTGCCAGGTAATTTATGTAGAGTATATATCATAATCATAAAAACTATTATCGCGACATAAAACAATAATTGTTCCTTAAATATATGAAATTTTCAACAATTTTACCTTGGAAATTGTTTGTAAAAGTTGTTATTTCAAATTTTTCAAAATATGTGTCGAGGCCTGTTACTTTAAAAAAAGATATTCTGGAAATCTTCAATTATATACCTTTTTCAAATTAGTCCTGTATCCATCACAAAGCTCTGTATAACTGACAATCCTGGCATTCATATAACTAGACTGAATTCTGAATTTCAATTTTTTAAACCATTGAGATAATATGAACTGGAAAAATTGAAAAAATACATATTAGAAATAGGCAAACATCTCGAGCAATATCCAGGTTGCAACAAGGAATATATTATGCTCCAAACAAAACGAAAGTTTCGGCCAATATTGGATCACATTCGGAAAATCTATTGAAATCGGACAAAGGAATATAGAGAACTTTGCAAGGGAAGTATATGTGTTAATGCAACATTATTTATAAATTTGGTTTCTTCTCATTCTTATTAAAGAATTACTACTTAAATGTCAATTTCGCGTAAAACACACAGGAGTGTATTTTCTACGACCCTGCGCCGACCGTTGAAGATTTGGATTAACACTACACACTACACACTAGATCAATAGCGGTTCCGTATTTTAAGCTCGAAAAGTCTATGTCTTGTGCCGTTAAAAAGGGACCTTGAGTGCCTTAAGTCGATGGTGATACATTGGTGGTTGTGGAGAACCGTTTTCCAGGGGATCCCTATATATACGCACAGCTTATAAGAAACACAGGTGACTGGTAATAACTTTTGTGTGTTTCGACAATCCTATGGTATCATTTTCATTTCTACTTCTATTAGATTGCGCGATTATCAAGTCGCAGTCCAGTTTACTAAATTTCAAATACTATTGCGTAAACAATATGAATGTTCAAAAAAAGTAGATTGTAAATTCCTTTGGAGTTTTTACGTCTTGTTCCAGCTGGTCAAGCACTGCTACCTTATATATTTTGTGCGTGACTCTGCTTCAGGTTTCCATCAACATTCCTGGATGGTAAAGTTAAAGTGCCCACCTCTTGGGGTATAAGCCGTAACCCCTTCAGCCTTTTGCAGAAGTAAACAGGATATTCACATTGATTAAATGTTCTGCAGTTTCTGTTGCTTGTTCGCAAGATCTACAGTAATGGTTTCTTGACTGCGTTGTAATGTCTTTTCTGACACTCTGTGCATGTTAGTAAGTTGTTCAGAATGTCAATTGGTTCGGATCTCTTTGCCGATATGAAATTTGACTGTCTCAGACCTGGGGATGGATCTCCAATGAGCTAGCATTAGGTCGTTTTTGTTAGGAAACAGTACCAGAAGTACCAGGACATAGGTACCTGAAAGTACTTTAACTAGCAAGTCGAGCTTTGATTATTCTTATCAAAAGTCAGCAAGAACTTTTGGGTCAGTTTTCATCAAATTTGCGAAATCAAGCCAAACCAAATAAAGAATTTCGGATGGAAACCCTGGGTAACAGTATCACCATAGAATTTCATTATGATCAGGAAAAAGGGAGCACTTTTGATGTATGGTTCAAAAGATATCAAAACCTTTCTACAGAAGATGCCAAAAATATTTCATACCCCGCAAAAGTAAGACTTCCAAGAAAATTAGACACACAAATCCATGAAAGGTAGGTACATACAGCAGAAAAAGTAGCAACCGCAATCACATCGCTAAAACCAAACTCTAGTCCAGGGCCTGATGAGATCAAACTAGTTTTTCTCAAGAACTGTGTACAGCTGCTGAAAGAGCCTTTGTCTCACTTGCTTAACACCATAATGAGCACAGGATACCTATTTCCCTTTAGCCTGGAAGAGGGCTGTGGTAACACCAATATACAAGAAAGGAAACAAACAGCATGCAGAAAAATATAGACCAATCAGTCTAACAAGTGCACTATGTAAATGCATGGAAAAAATAGTAGCCAAAGAACTCACTGATTTTCTGCTTGAAAATGTTTTACCTGCTGAACAACATGGCTTTCTCCCAGGAAAATCAACATTAACAAACCTGCTAACCAGACTAAATGAGTGGACCCTGGCTGATGACAACCATGAACCAATTGATGTCATTTACCTTGATTTTGAAAAAGCATTCGACAAGGTGTCAACAGAATTTTTGCTTTATAAATTGGAACATTTTGGAGTTAGAGGTAAACTTCTGAGGTTGTTGGAAGGCTTTCTCACTGTACGTACCTTCCAAGTATGTGTGGATTCCTCACTTTCAAAGGAGCACAAAGTACACAGCGGTGTTCGTCAGGGGTCAGTCCTTGGCCCGCTGCTGTTTATAACTTACATAAGCGATCTCTATCAAGGGCTTCACACGAATAATGCGACATCTGTTGATAATGGAAACCTATACACAAATCCGCTGCTATATCAGGTTGAATTACAAATGGACCTTAACAACATTAAAGCTGGACACATAAGTGGGGGATGCCTCTGAATGATTACAAATGCACTGTCCTTCATATTGGTCAAAACAATCCCAATTTCAACTATTTCTTTGAACAAACGGAAATAACACCAGTAACGAAACAACGAGACTTAGGAGTCACTTTAACATATGACCTGAAATAGGATACACATATCACACAAATGTCCAGAAAGGCTAATTCAATGATCTACCTTATTCAGACAGTCTTTAAAGACTTAGGTATCAAAGGAAATGATCTTGAAACTTCACAAGTCGTATATAAGACCAAAACTTGAATATGCCCAAACGATCTGGAATCCATACGACATTAAAGACATAGAACAGATAGAGAGAGTTCAAAGAAGAATAACGAGATTACCGCAGGAACTTAAAAATCTGCCCTATGAGGAACGGCTCCTGAGATTGAACCTCACAACTTTAAGAGACAGGAGAATCAGAGGTGATCTCATTGAAACACATAAAATACTCAACGGTCACTATGCCTGTAACCTGAGAGACATCTTCCACCTAAGCCACAACATAAATCTGAGAAGACACGATCAAAAGCTTTCTAAAGAAAGATGCAATAAGCTCCTCAGGAGGAATTTCCTTAACAATAGAGTTGTTTACAATTGGAACCACCTGAGCGCTGACACCATAAATTCTACCTCCAAAAATCAGTTTAAGAATCACCTCAACCAGGAAATGACAAGTTGGGCCACAACCTCCTTTGTACACTACTGTCTATAGACCATACAATCAGAACTAAGAATGCGATAGCTGTCTAAACAAATACAGCAGTCTCATCGGTTTTTCTTTAAACCGCCTACTGCTGTTAACATCAATAATAATAATAATAATAATAATAATCAAATTCATTTCACCCAAGGAAATCAAAGATTTAACCTTTAGTGAAACCGTAAACAAACTAACCCAGTTGTTTGGTAAAAAAACTACAATTTTTCACACAAGATATCAATGCATGAAGTTGAAAAAAAAATGATTCGGAAGATTTTATCGCATTTGCTTCACGTGTCAACAAAATGTGTGAAGAATCCAAGATATATCAAGTCACGAGCAAACGAATTTAAATGTTTAATTTTTACTTGAGGCTTACTTACAATCAAGTAAAGATAGTGAAATACGAACCAGAATTTCAAACAAATTAGATTCTAATAGCAACGATCAACATACATTAGGAAGTTTAATTTCTAAATGTCAGCACAGGATACCTATTTCCCTTTGAAGAACAATTCAATTTAAATATAAATATAAATCTTAAAAATAAAAATATAGAGAAGGGTTCCCAAATGGATTGAAGATTCGTCTCTCCAATGTAAATGCCATTTCGAACATAAATAAACATTTGCCAAATTCAGGTTTCCAGCAAAATTTTAAGTTTAAGCCCAACAATAAACCATATTACCGTTTCGACATGAGAATTATGCACATAATTTCCAGGATGGTACTGCATTTTCAAACGACCCTAGCTGGTATTGCGGCGAACTGGGTAGATTGGATCATAAAATTTGGTCTATGGAACGTTACCATTCAATTCAGTCTGCGATATGTTGGTAAATCAAAACAATTTCCAATTAAAACAGAATCATTAAAAGTAGCTTTTCCTAAAGTATTCCAAAAAACATTAGGTTACTTAAAAAAAAAAACAAATTTAATTTTCACATAAAGGAAAGATGCAGTTCCTATTTTCAAAGCAAAAAGACCAGTCGCTTATTCAGTTATGCATGAAGTTGACCAAGAACTTCAAAGGTTGCAAGAAAAAAATATTATATCATTAGTTGATTATTCCGATTAGGCAGTCACAAGTATTGTAGTTACAAAGGAACAAAACGGATATATCAGATTATGTGGCGATCACTCTACTGGTCTCAATAAAACTTCTACCACATCATTACCCTCTTCGAACAGTCAAAGAAATTTTTTCAAAGTTACAATTTTTAGTATCATTGACCTTTCTGATGGTTTCCTCCAAATTGAAATCAGTGAAGATTCAAGAAAATGTTTGACAATAAACACTCATCATGGATTGTTCCAATACAATAGAATGCCATTTGGTATGAAAGTTGCCCCAGCCATTTTTCAACAATTTATGGATATCATGTTATCAGGTCTGAAAGGAACCACATATCGATGACATTTTACTATCAGGCCAATCAGAGGAAGAACATTTTCAAAATTTAAATCTTCTTCTAAAGCGTATAGAAGAGTTTGGGTTTCAATTAAAATTACAAAAATGTAAATTTAGAGTCCCAATCGAGAACCGTTTTAGAACGGTAATTTCCAGTTGCCCACCTATTTTTTAATAAGTTGAACATTTATCCTAATTGACAAATGATTTGATCGAATGGAAATTACCGTTCTAGAACAGTTCTCATGTCGGTTGGAACAGAGCTATTATTATTCAGGGATCATAAGAAGGTCCCAAGATTAAAATGGGAAGCAAGGTGCTGTTGGAAGCTGGTAGGGACTATGATTAACAAATGTTTGATTGAAGAAAAGATTCTAAACTCGTTGCAAAATGCAGAAGACTTCCTTATATAGGTACAAGAGAGGAGACGAACACAAGATAAAAAAACTATCGGATGGTATCACATTAGTCAGGCGCGGCTCCTCTGTAAGGTCATTCGGTCAATGACCCACCACCACCTTGAATATTACGTTTTAAATTAACCAACATCACGCTCAACAGAATACAGAAATCGAATTATTTTGCGCATATTGGGTACCCGCCTTTTAAAAATACAAAATACAGGCCTAGCTGCGCTCGGGGCTTATAGCTTTTCAATGATCATAGGCGAATGCAATGGGAATCAGAGAGAGAGAAACATAACGGGTGTAAATGAGTAAGATAAAGAGGCACATTTCCTCCCATATGTTCCATCACGTCGACGGCCGGCAGCGGCGCCACATCCTCGAACGATCGATATAGGTATTTATCGGAATGGAACAAGAGCGCTCAGAATTCGACGATTTTATTATCGTTTTTCAATCGCGTTTATTGAAGAAAGATGAAAAACAAAAGGCCTAGAGTGTTGGGGTGTCCAGATTTATTTTTCTTAAAACAATCACTGAATTGTCATTGTGCACATTAGCACATTGTTTTGTTTTGGTTTAATTTTTTGGGTTTAAAACGCTTTAGTGCAACAAAAATTAACAAATTTTCTATAAAAATTAGTTGATATATCCTTTATACAGTTGGTTTTATATCAATTTAAGTGCGGATATTGACGTTTTTTGCCGTAGTAAATCGAATATTCACAATTTTATAAAAGAAACCCTATTCCTATTTTACCATTACACCGCGGCTAAACTAACCAAAAATATGCAAACTAACCCAAACTATTCCGTCCACGTAATGCGTACTAGTCCTTGTAGGTTAATATTGAATTTAGAAAAACAAAAACGCGCTTCGCGCGCTTTTCTTTAAACCGGTACACTTATAACCAGTAGATATTGAACGAACTGTAACCCAAACTAACCAAAAGTATGCAATCTAACCCAAACTAACCAAAAGTATGCAAGCTAACCCAAACTAACCCGTCCATGTAATGCGTACCAGTCCTTGTATGTTAATATTGAATTTAGAAAAACACGCTTTGCTTTGCTTTGCGTCACAGTTTTTTGAAGGTAAATGAAATCCTTATGGCGCTAATTTCACTGTTGACCTAGGCCGCCATATTGATAGGATTGCCCTATCAAAACCCGACACTTCGCACCTCAAAATAGATCAACTTTAATTTATAGATTTTTTCTTAAGACTAATGGCGATTTCCATTTGTCAATCAGTGCGCACTGAGTGTATCGGCATCTTTTTCTAAAAGCATGTAACATGTAAGGATAAGGATACGTTTTTTTTGCACTCGTTCGACAAATGGAAATTGCTATAATATACTTAATCCGCATATTTTTATATTGGAATCGATGCAAAATGTCTAACTACAACATTAGGAATGCAGCTTATAAGAAACTACGTGTTGCACTAAAGCGTTTTACCACCAATTTTTTGAGTAATCTGTCCTGAATCTTTCTTTAATCGCTTCACAAAAATGGATTTCCTTGTTCAAGAAATAATTTCTTTAATTTCCAGTGGGGGATTGACTTTTGAAAAACGGTTGGAATTGACCTGTCTCGCATAAATAGAAAAAGAGAGCTTTAATTGTAATAAATACAAGTTAGAAAGTAATAAGAGATGACATGCGCGCGCAACTATTGGGTTTCAGTGTAGCCAGTTTCCAGTTTGTATTGTTGCAGAACAAATGTAGACAATACAAATCGAACATTATAACGTTAAAGAAGTGATATAGTGTTAAGTGTTTTACAACGCCTTAAATCAGATAGAAGAAGAGCTTTAAAGTGTATGTTCACATCGTTATTGGCACTTTTATTTTGATAAATGTTTCATCCGGCAACATTGCACAATAAAAGTCCAAAGGGATATGTCAAGTATAATCTGACATAATTTTAAACAACACTGCGGTGGGTTCAGAAGTAATACGTAAAGTATTAGTTTGCTCTTTGTCAAAATACACGTTACAAAGAAAGAAGTAGCGAATAATTCTGAACTGGCACCTGAATAAGAATATGACGCAAGCCCGTAACAAACTCGCTTTTCATTGGATGCTCACCTGCAGCCCACGAGTTGCGCGCGCAGTCACGGTAATAAAAGATAGGTGGATTATGCCAAACCACGAAAGATAGAGGGAAAGAAATCAAAAGGTATTTTCGTCCAACAATGTATGAAATGTGCGACTGGATGTGGATATTTACTAACTTATTGCACAAATTCTAAAAAAGTTTCTAACCTGTTGTTTTCTACTTGACGTAAGACATAAATACATAACCTGAAATTAGGAGCAAGGATATTACACCTCTCCTCCGGTATCAAAAACCGAATTTTCGTGAAGAACGTAGTTCATCCAAAGACGAACCATGGTTCGTCGGTGACGTCATGAGTTTGAACGCTGGCTAGAAGCTGCGTCCATGCTTCCGTCGAACTACGTTCAATATAACGTCGTGAGTTCCTCGCGAAAGCGTTTGTGTTCATGAAATCATGGAAGTAGTTCCTCGCGAAAATTCGGTTTAACCCAACATCTACGTCATCAATTGTCAAATTTCAAAATGACCATAAAGGAGCGCGAAATTCAAGTATTCAAATTTAAATTCCTACAAAAAGACAAAAACTAAAGCCAAAAAACTTGGTTTAATACCAAAAAATTTTCGCCTAAGGCGCTATTTTAGCCTGCGGCGCTGTCCCTCCTAATTCGACCCACCTGTAAAAAAACTCACGAGCCGCGCCTGACATTAGTATGAGTTGTTTACAAAAGTAATGCGAGGGTACATTCCAGGATGTCATCAACAAGTTAGACTGGCGAAATGTTAATAAAATGATTGATTGTTCTATTTATTGCCAATACAGGCGAATAATTCAAAAGCACGCTTGAAGAACCTCATCATGCAAATTGGTCTTCGAATGGATCTAACAAAAAGAAAGATCATGTCGGTGTTGGATCCAAATTGCTAAAGATAGGATTCGGAAGAATTGGGAAGAGGCCTTATCCAGGAGTTCATGATTACAGCCTGAAACAAGAAATAGAAGAAACCAATAATAATGGAAGGCTTGTGCCTATTCAAAACTCAAACATCGTCAGTAGGTAACAAAAGTTTAAAACGTATATATCTTGGAAGTGAAGCGACCTCATAAATATATTATCATTTATTTATTTATTGTCTTTTTAAAAATAACCGATAAGATCTGCTTTTATTTATTTATGGCTTACGTTGAATCATGTTTAGGTTTTGATTTATTCATTCCATTTTCTAATCAATACTTTAATAGAATGATCCTAAAAGTATGCTAAATAATATAAAAAAATTGGAACCTTGACACCAATAAAAAATAAATCTTATCATTTTTTCTTTTTCGGCACTTTTATATAATAATTACTTTAAGAGCATCAACCTTTGCCCAGATTAATCCATATTAAATGAAAAAATTCAACTTAATCTATAGAAGAACCAAGATCTGCTTGAAGTTGGTTGGCCTACCATCCTAATGAGTAATAGATTAGGGAAAATTTACGTTCATCATATTGTCTATCTACCTAAGGTCTGGTCTATTCATCCCTTGGATTGGAACTTACAAAATTTGAGCATTTTAAGTGCATCTAATGTAGATTGATTTGAAAGCCATAATTTTGTATTAAATTGAAATAAAACCAACTTTTTCTTCCAGAAACAACGTGTCAAAGTTAACGCGACCTTCAACGCGTTCCTACTATCTCAACCACCAACCCTTTCCACCAGCCTTCAAACCCTTTCCATGGTCAGACACTTGGTGCTCGAAGATGACATCAAAGAATATTGGGGATTTTACCTTTTAAAAGGATCCTCAGTAACTGTAAATACTTGTGTGAGGTAAACAAATGTTAAGTGAATATATTGAATAAAGTTACTAAAAACATTTAACTTGCGTTTATTAGTTTTTAACGGTGACAACGAAAATTGAATTAAAATTATTGTGTTTTAGATGGCCTGGCGCTTCTCTAATAGTTATCCGTGGCCACAGACATCTTCACGAATGCGCCTACATCGGAGACGACTCCTCAGAAGAACTCGATGAACTGATGGAAGCGATCAAAGAAGGCACTTATGTTGTCAATCAAAGCGATACAGTAGTGAAACCAGCTCAAAAGACTAACGATCCTGAATTGATGAAACGCCACAGGGCCGATGTGGAATTCCACAGTCCTCACCACGAAATCAATAAAGAAACTCACACTTTAAAAGACAACGTCGATACTTCCGATTTAAACGATCCTAAAATGATGAAAATCATTCTCGAAGCTTTGCAAACCAAAAAGAAGAAAAAGCCGAAAGAAGACCATCCTCATTTCAAAAGAAACTCTACAATAGCGGAAGAGGAAACTGGTAACTTCAATATTTCGGCCCCGGGTCGAGGCGCCGCGGCAACATCCCAAGAAGTCGTAGCACAACTATTCAGCAAATTGCAAAGCCTTGGCGATAAGGCACCAAAATACTTGGAGGCCCTGAACAAAAAATTCACCATCACAGAAAGCTCTCTGGAAAATCTCGGCAAAATCCAAGAGGGCGACATGCAAAAAAGGCATTTGCACTTGGAAACTCAAGGCAGGCAATACAAGAAGCCGGCAGTGAATTTCGATAAGGCTATTGATAGTAGGAGACGAAAGCGGGAGATTGAAGCGCTGGGAGAGGATTTAAGCAGAGATGATAGTGAAAATAATAATGGAAATGAAGAGGTAAGTAATTAAGCAGTTCATTAACAGAGTTTAGTTTGATTTCTTTGGCTCATTGATTTTTTTACTCCTGCTTCTCTGTCTTGAGGTTGCCATGCCATTGTCATTCCTATAAAGGTTTCTTTCTTCCTTCCATAAGTTGTTTTCGTTGTACGTCTTGTTCCTTCTATTCCTATATCGTTCTCTAAGTTTCCATGTTTCAACCCCAAACACACAGGGGCGGATACAGGCCTTTTGAAAGGGGGGGCAGTTTAATTTAAAGTAAGCCAGATTGGGTTAGTTTGGGTTAGTTTTGGCAGCGCATTGTGCAAGATACGGTTTTTCGAAGGAATGGCTCATCAAAATACAATAAAAGCGTGCAACATTTCACATTTCTGACATTCAATTTTTGTTTCTGACCATGGATTCTAAAAATTTAGCCAATACTGTACAACTTTTGTATTTACACCTTTCATCTACTTCTAAAGATGAAGGCTGTAGGTAGGGTGTCAATATATAAAAAAAAAACACCCTGAACTTGAACAATAACTTATTATATAAAGTCAGAATTTGTAAGATTATCCACTTTTTGTCAATTTGTCTTTCAACAGGAATTAGTAATGTTACTTCACCAAACTAGTAATATAATGTGACAAGTTATTCAAGTACAAACGTGTGGATTGTTGCGGAACTTATGAGTGGACCTCTGCGGGACGAGCGCAGCGAGTTCCGCAGCCATCTATTCATCAATAAGTTGTTTAATTACGATACTAACTAACTCAAATGTGCGTTATTCTCATTAGTTTAAAAATTACACGTTTCAGGTGAATATCTTACTTGAACAGTTCAACAGTATATTGGTGATTAGATGGCTGCGGAACTCGCTGCGCTCGTCCCGCAGAGGTCCACTCATATAAGTTCCGCAATAATCCACACGTTTGTACTTGAATAACTTGTCACATTATATTACTAGTTTGGTGAAGTAACATTACTAATTCCTGTTGTTAAAGGCAAATTGACAAAAAGTGGATAATCTTAAAAAATTCTGACTTTATGTAATAAGTTATTGTTCAAGTACAAATAAGTGGATTGTTACGGAACTTATGGGTGGACCTCTGCGGGACGAGCGTAGCGAGTTCCGCAGCCACCTCTAATCACCAACATACTGTTGAACTGTTCAAGTAAGACGTTCACCTGAAACGTGTAATTTTTAAACTAATGAGAATAACGCACATTTGAGTGAGTTAGTATCGTAATTAAACATATTGATGAAAAGATGGCTGCGGAACTCGCTGCGCTCGTCCCGCAGAGGTCCACCCATAAGTTCCGCAACAATCCTCTTATTTGTACTTGAACAATAACTTATTATACAGGGTGTCCCATAAGTCATGATCCAAACTGAACGAGGCGATTCTTTGGTTTATTTTATGACTTAATTTTTTTATAAACATATGTCCGCAACCGCTTCGTTACCGATCTACAGGGTGTTGAAATATCAATATTTTTTTGGTTTTTTCTTTTATAGCTCCTGCAATTTTTGAGGGATTAAGCTGAAATTTGGAATATAGGTGCTACATGATTGCACATTTCAAACGTTTGCCAGAATTCACAAGGTGATGTTTTTCCAGTTGTCATATGCCCTTTTCTGCCCCTGAACTTTTTTGCGGTGCGCCGCTGGTAGATCCTAAAGAACTAAATGATTTTTCTACCTTATTTAGAAACTTTTTGTTCTCTTGTAGTTTTTTCCAATTACCGACCCTTATCGAGAAAAAGATTAAAAAACAAATCTTTGTAATTAGCTAGATAAAACTACAGTGACTCAATATACCTTTTCTACCCACAGTGGCGACAATAGAGGTCACGCCGCCGTATTCTTGATCATTTTCAGTACGAATCTAGACAGTGTTGTCGAATGTCAAAATACTAAATCGGGAGAAACTAGCGTTGAAAATCGGTAAATAGAAAGTTCTCGTGCCTCAGACGCTACGCTAATACGGTACCGCTAACAACACGGTATTTTAAATGGTATTTTATAGTTCTCGGACACGAAGACACAAAAATCCTCTAATCCCTTATTCTGTTTACATTTTGACAGATGAATTGAGTGATCTAACCCAACTTTCTTTTGCTTGTTTTCCAACTTTTATTTATCCTGAAGATTCCCGAGTTTCATTAATTTTCCCGTGATGTTTTTTATGCAGGAATTATTAGAAGTTGCTGTTTTACAGACGAAAATGGAGCGTAAACTAATTTTGACATAGCATAGCGTTACGGTAAGGTATCCGTTAAGTCCCGTTAGGTAGCGGACCCCGCTAACGCTAATACCGTAAGAACTGTCATACTTGTCAAATAGCGTTACGGTATTTAAAATTTGGACAGCCCGAGAACTCTCTAATTACTGCGCAAAATCGGTAGGTATAACACAAGGATAATACACACTATTAAAGATTGCTTATCGGCCTCGTTTTCGGTAATCACGGCCATATTGGTGTATCACCATTGCCAACGTCATCAACTAAATCGTAGTTGTTTGCGCCAGCGGTCCTAGTTTAGCATTTAAATTTATGATGAAAAATATAATTTAATTTTGATTAGCATAAGGCATTTTTTAGCGAGATCCCAGTAATAACCGTTTATAACCCGTGCGGTTATACACGGTTACACTCCCACTTCAAAAATATATCCCTACGATTGGCAGATTTCTAGGATTAAACCGCTTCTCGCTAAAACGGAACGGTTATCAAAATTTTACAGTAAAGTGAGGTTAGTTTATATTTTGTGGTAAACATAAACGAAATGAAGTCAATAATTAAGTCCTTATTACTAATTGACGATATTATGTTTGGAAACACCCTGTATATTCTAATTTCTAAGTATTATCGAGTCAAGTATAGTGGCCCCTTGAAATGTTTATTGCAAGAAAATCATGAGAGACAGCTTATAGACGATGATGTGTGGATTATTGTCTCTTTCAACTTGATGACTACTACTACCGGCGAGATCTTCCATTTTTTGATGATATCCTCCAATAACAAAAAAACCTCAGAAAAAAACTAACTTTTACACATCAAAACAATCATAGTAAATGAATCTAAGGTTAGAATTTTTCAGTTACTCAACTCTCGACTTGGGTATCAAAAACAATAACCGTGTTATAGAATGATGACGTCACTTTATGACAGCAAAACACCTTCCCCTATTACCGTTTTCTCGCAAAAACGGATCGGTTATTGATTTCCTGTAACCGCTTGTAACACGGGCACTTACGGGAGCTCGTTAAAAAATGCCTATAATAGGCAAAGAGGAAGATGCAAACAAGATCTAAACAGGAGTTGTTAATGTTAATTATTATTAATGTAGTAAGATCGAGTATGCATAAAGCGAAAGACCGTGTAATCATAACCTGTGATGCAAACAGTCTAGGTCAAGACGACAAACGACGTGCTGCCTACGTCACAACTGGTGATTTGGCGTAGTGGGGGCAAGAGTGAGGGGCTTCAGATTTGTTCTAGACAGATCTTATGAGGATAGCCTATCCTGCAGTAATAGTGTGTATATCCTTGGGTATAAGCAATGGGTATAACATAAAGACTAAAATCCAGCCGTGTTTTGCTTTTAGTTTTTTATTTGCTTGAGTAGGTAAAAGCCCAGTGATTGTTTCCGTGGAAAGTCTATTTTTATGTGTTGTTTTCATTCGATTTATTGTTGAGAATGTGCGCTCAACATTGGCGGAAGAATGGGGCAATGACAATAATATAATAAGAACAGATTCGGATATGACAGGACCTACGGGAATTCCTCGAAACAAACGCACTGATACTGATACCAACCTCTAAGATACCAACCATTGCTAACAGTTGTCGGAGGATCTATTTGACATATGACAGTTCTGATATGGACAAACATTTCAATAGTAGATCGGGTGCGGTTGTCGATAGAAAAATCGGCGTAAAAAAAACCGATAAAATTGATTTTTTGGCAAAAAACGGTGAAAAAATCGGTAGAATCGTAATTATTGTCGAAAATCGGTAAAAACTCAATGAGGAAATTGCATAAAATTTTATTTAGATGCAAAATGTATTTAAAGTGAAAATACTCTAGAAGTATATTTCCATATTCAAATCCTCTTTATACGGAACCACTAATAAATAATTAATTATTCAAATATTGAATATAACAAAGGGCGCGAAAACACTCTCAACTTGGGTATGACGTCATGGAACGGTAAACAAATAAAAGTGTGGTTATGTTGACGTGATACGTGGAGCCGTCAGACGCTTGTGTATTGGCGAAAGGTCCCAAAGTAGGCGACATCTATGATCAACTTTGGTACTCAAAACTCAGTGAACAACAAAGCAAGTTTGCATTTGGCCCTCGTCATTATTTCTGGAAGACACTGGAAGTTTTCAATTTTCTATACAGAATATTATTCTTTTTATGTATTGCTTTTGTTATATAAATCACAAAAACATCATAAAACACAACTTGACAAAAACTAACCTCAAAAAACTGGCTTTGTTGTTCACTGAGTTCGGCAGACATATTGCTATTTTTCGCGTAATTTAGCGCCATCTGTTGATACAGGAATTTCGCCAATACATCGAATTTTACCGATGGATTCAGCATTCTATGTCGGTCATTGTCATTTTCCATTAACTAAACAAAGATACCTACGCCTAGTTTTTATTCTAATCAGCGACTTCCCCGATGAGTTAGCTATTGTTATGATAATTATTATTTAGTCCTATATATTTGTTACTATCATTACTACACTATATCTTTCTCTCTTTTAATGTATAGGGTGTGAGTTCACTGGAAGAGAATTGATTTCCAAAATCAACGTAACACTATCTTTGTTTAGTGAATGGAAAATGACAATGATCGACATAGTCGCATAAATCAATGACAAAACACAATGGACAATGGGTAAGAGAGAGAGGGAGTACAGAGACTCGTTTTGACGGATACCGTCTTGTGACGTCATTCATTTATGAGTGCGTTTTGGCGCGAAGGGAGTTATTTTGAATTTCTATATTTTTTTACAGAAAAACTATTAGTTGAAAATTAAAAATTTGTGTGGTAAGTGACTTATTTCGGTAGGTCCGTTACTATTTCGGTAGGTAGAAATACCGAAATTTCAGTGGCTTCGACAACACTGAATCTAGAAGTAAGCTACGCCCTTGCCGCCATATTCTTGCTCATTTTCAATATGAATACATTGAAATTTCATCACCGTAGATAGGTGACGAAGCGTTTGCAGACCTATGTTTATTTGAAGTTTTAGTCATAAAATAAGTTTGGATCATGACTTATGGGACACCCTGTATAAAGTCAGAATTTGTAAGACTATCCACTTTTTGTCAATTTGCCTTTCAACAGGAATTAGTAATGTTACTTTACCAAATTAGAAACATAATGTGACAAGTTATTCCAGTAAAAACGTGTGGATTGTTGCGGAACTTATGGGTGGACCTCTGCGGGACGAGCGCAGCGAGTTCTGCAGCCATCTTTTTATCAATATGTTGTTTAATTACGATACTAACTCACTCAAATGTGCGTTATTCTTATTAGTTTAAAAATTACACGTTTCAGGTGAATGTCTTATTTGAACAGTTCAACAGTATATTGGTGATTAGATGGCTGCGGAACTCGCTGCGCTCGTCCCGCAGAGGTCCACCCATAAGTTCCGTAACAATCCACTTATTTGTTCTATTATATAAAGTCAGAATTTGTAAGACTATCCACTTTTTGTCAATTTGCCTTTCAACAGGAATAATTAGTAATGTTACTTTACCAAACTAGTAATATATTGTGATAAGTTATTCAAGTACAAACGAGTGGATTGTTGCGGAACTTATGGGTGGACCCAGACATCTATTCACCAATATGTTATTCAAGTACAATACTAACCTGATTCACTCAGTTGAGAATTTTTCTCATTAGTTCAAAAACTACATACGTTCCAGGTGAATGTCTTATTTGAACAGTTCAACAGTATATTGGTGAGTAGATGGCTGCAGAGGTTCACCCATAAGTTCCGCAATAAACCACTTATTTGTACAGGGTGTTTTTTTTATATTTACACCCTACCTACAGCCTTTACCTTCACAGATAGAAGAAAGGTGTAAATACAAAAGTTATACAGTTTTGGCTGAATTTTTAGAAACCATGGTCAGAAATAAAATTTGAATGTCAGCAATGTGAAATTTTGCATGCTTCCAGCTTTTTACAAATGGGATGCCCTATATTTCATTCTATATTCTTGAAGAGCACAATGCTCCGATCTATATTTGATTATTTTAAAAAGGCCCTCCCACTGTATCCGCCACTGCAAACACAAGGCTACGCTTTATCATAGTTTCATAATACATATATCAATTATTTTTTTTTTCCAAAGGGCTTTATCCAAGCTCCAGACGGAATAGCCGACCACAAAGGCTTTGTGAACGAGACCAATACCGATCACGATATGAGCAACAGTGAATTTTGGTCTTCATTTTCCAGCTCGGAGGAGGCACTTTTGAATTGCGAAGGCCTCATTTTGAATTTGCCACTCACTCCTCATCATAATTGCCGCAAGGATTTGAGCGAGCAAGAAGCCGAAGAAACTTATATGGCTAATTCGATTACTTATAGGTAAAAATCTTTTTAAGTTTCATCTAATTCATATATGTATTTATTTTTTAGAGTCCCAGTAAACGGTTACTATTTCTTCGTTTTCAATAGTGAAAATGAAGTGCAACCAAACTACATAAGAGTGCAATTTCATTTGAATAAGGCAGTGTATAATTTAACAGAACCTGTATCTGTTTGCGTTAATGCTACAAAAACTTGTGAAGTGGACCTGAAATTTTTCAGCTCCGAAAAACTAGTATTAGAGTTGCCAGTTAGAGGCAACGACACTTTATGGAACGAAGAATTCATCGTGGAATCTGAATGCGAGCCTAGAACTGCGTTATATGCAGTGTGCGTTATAGCTGTACCTGTTATTATTATATTATTTGCTTTTTCGTAAATACATTTTGTTTTTTTTTTTATCAGAAATCATCTTCGTGGGAATATAAAAGAGTCAAAAATGCTAATCTAAAAAGTCTAATTTGTTTTGGCACGCGTTTTTAATCCCCTCATCCAAATTAATTAGGGCTCGAGGAGCGAAAAAGATCAGAGCGGGCAGATTAAAAAATAAGCAGAGGGAAAAGTTGACACTTTCCACCCCACATAATACCCACTCTCGGCGGCTATTAGGGTTATTCGGCAGTTTATTTTATATTAGTGTTATGTGTCGATAAGGGAAACTATAAAAAAATATCAAATAGAGGGTTAAAATAAATAAAATTATATTTAGTATTTTTTTCTTAAACCTTAGCTACTACATTTTTGTCTATGAGTCGCGTAGGTATAAATCATCAACGATATTTACTAAAAAATAGGAATCATTGTGGAATATTCATTCAAAATTATCAGTCATGGTCAGTTTGTGTGCACCTTCCCAGAAATATATCTAGCGATATGACAACCGATAACAATCTTACGATAATGTTTACTTAATTTGATTGCAACACTTGAATCTAATGTGCTAACAAAGGGTATTTTGACTCGTCAATATGCTGCCTATCTAAATAGGGGTGGAGCACACGACACTCAATCAGGGGGATGAAACCTAGGGGTATCGACCACAAAAGAACACAACGACGTTCGAGGCTAAGAGTAGAGAGCATTTCAAGCCAGAGACAATTTTGATCAATGCTAGTCTTTGATCACAATACCAAAGAATAGTTTTTAGATATAGACACGAATCAAGAGCTGACTGAGAAACCAACGTAATATACAATTGACCTAGATCAGTGTTGTGATCAAGATAAATAAATCTGCATGATATAGCTCTAATAGTTGGAAATCAATTCCTTGTAAAGATTCGCCCTCTAATTTGGACTCACGCAGTTTCAATAACACATCCTCTGATCTGTTTGAGACCGATACCAGCCCCTAAACGCGATAAGCCGAAGAGTTTCTCATGAATTTATTAGTCCGGAAAAAAACAATTTGAATAGGATTATGTTGAAGAAATTTTTTTAAAAAATACGATTTATTTATACTGTTCCAGGAACTATATTGGGATGATAGGGGGATAAAATAATATTTCTGAAGGAAACCTCAATAATTTAAGATTCGCTGGCTGATGACATCGTAATCTCCCCGAACAAAATAGACCAACGAACAGACTTATAGAAATCATGCTGAACGAATTACTTCAAGAAGCCAAAAAGATCGGATTAAAGAAATGAACATTTCAAAAACAGAATTAGTGAAAAATAAGCAAGCAGATAGTCTATAGCCATTATTGTTTTGCATTTATTCTCCATACCTCCCAACTATTAGGTATGTCACTGTCCCGAGTTCATCCTATTTTTGCATTTAGATCAATTCCTGATTTCTGAGTTTTGTAAAGGTAGCTATTGTCTTTCATCTTTTTCACTTCGTCTTGCGTCTCCATTTGGAGCATAGATGATGACCACGATAGTTCTATGTCCCCTAACTGAAATATTCACTGTTGCTATGCATTCGTTTATTGTGTTTCAATAGCTTATCTTTTGTTTATACTTTTTATGCATTAATAATGAGACTCCTTAGGCAGCTCTTATATCTTTGGGTACTCCACTGTATATATGTACCTATGTAATCTGACTAAAGGACCATTAGGACACCACAAAATCTCAACAACAAAAATTTGAAATTTCATCGTTTTAGTTAGAAGTTAAGTAAGCTACCTTATAAATTAGATTTTGGAAAATTTTGAAAGGTCATAACTTTTTTTCTATTATAGATAGTAAGCTGAAATTTTCAGCGATTCTTATTGCAGTAGAGGACTACAATCCCTGAAAATTTCAACTTATTTGAACTTATAGTTCCTAAAATAAAATCGTGTTAAGCAATTTGGGGTGTTTTATCAATTTTTCAATTTTTCTGAGTGCCTTTTTTCACACATTTCGGCTTCAAATTTGGGAATAACTTGGTGTTTGGAGTTCGGGGGATATCAAATGACCATCAGGACACAAAATCTCAACAATAAAAATTTGAAATATCATCGCTTTAGTAAGAAGGTACCTACCTTATGATTTTGATTTTGGAAAACTTTGAAAGGTCATAACTTGTTTTCTATTAGAGATAGAAAGCTGAAATTTTCAGCGATTTTTATTCCAGTAGAGGACTACAATTCCTGAAAATTTCAACTCATTTGGACTTATAGTTCCTGAAATAAAATCGTGTTAAGCAATTTGGGGTGTTTAACAATTTTTCAATTTTTCTGAGTGCCGTTTTTCAAAAATTTCGGCTTCAAATTTGGGAATAACTTGGTGTATGGAGTTCGGGGAATCCCAAGTGATCATTAAGACACAAAATCTCAACAACAAAAAAATTGAAATTTCATCGTTTTAGTAAAAAGGTAGCTACCTCTTATGATTTAGATTTTGGAAAACTTTGAAAGGTCATAACTTTTTTTCTATTTTAGATAGAAAGCTGAAATTTTCAGCGATTCTTATTCCAGTAGAGGACTACATTCCCTGAAAATTTCAACTCATTTGGACTTATAGTTCCTGAAATAAAATCGTGTTTGGGGTAATTTATCAATTTTTCAATTTTTCTGAGATCCCAAAGGCAGTGGCGAACTCAGATCAGAAAATATGTTTGGGGGGGGGGGGGGGGGGCATACATAGGTTGTGGCTTGTGAACGTAAAAATACAGTTTTGGAGCGGTGGCCTGGGAGGAGGGGGGCCCTGGCCCGATAGCACCCCCCCTGGGTGCGCCACTGATCTGACTTTATTTGAAAACAAACCTTTAATTTAGTGTCTATCTGAAAATCGAAACCACAGAAGATATCCTGTTTATTATACAATCAAGAAATTTCCAGGGTAGGCTTAGGACGGGATGTAGGGCCTTATGTGGATGTAATGTACAGGGTGTTTGTTTATAACTGGAACACTTAGTAGCTTTTTTAGTATTGAAAATTCAGGGCATGTTTAAATTAGAAAATTTCTTGGTAAATTACAACGATCTTAAGCGCTACAACAATATTTATTTTGTCACCATAGGTAGGTATACAGGATGCGCCAATAAAGTAATTTTTTTAAATGGAAGGCCCTGTATATTTTTGCAGTTTTGAAATTCTCAGGAAATAAGCTTCACAAAAATATCAAACACTATTTGGATAACAAAAATATACAGGGCGTTTCATTTTAAAAAAAAATATCTTTTTGGCGCACCCTGTATACCTATGACGACAAAAAAATATTGTTATAGTGCTTAAAAGGTTGCAATTCACCAAGAATAATAAGAAAGTTACTGAGTGTTCCAGTTATAAACAAACACCCAGTACAATACAAGAGTTTTATAAAACGCACTTTTTTTCATTTTTGCCCTGTATATATCCTCTGCTATTCCGAGTTCAAAGAAGTTGATGACAGATTATGTATAGGCACTTGATTGTGCAGTTTTTTTTCCGATTTGGTCCACCCCGTATCTTCAATTGTTTCCAAAAATCCCCATGTACTTCAAGTTATTCCGGACACCCTGTATATCATACAATTTCCAACACGAAGTTACAACCCCACAGGGGGTGTAACCCAAAAGACAACTTAAGTTATTTATATCAATAAAAAAAAAAAACAAGATCTCTTGTGGATATTCAAAATAGTATCTGAGATAATTCCTTATGATGATAAATTATGCGGCAGCTTGTGACGTCACACCGGCTAACCGCCGAAATCTCAGCCTTTTGTTCGTTCATTCGTCAGTGAACCGTGCCCTATACTCTGAGTGCTTGCAATTCGCTCTAGTGAGATCGTTGACTTGACTCCGAAGCCGGTGTGACGTCACAGCCTAGGCGTACCTAAAAAACAATCCATAATCGCACGAATATAAATTTCAAATATTTAATCTTAGATTTTTTTGCACTAAATTTTTTACTTTTGGGTATTTAGATAGTACTTATTATATGGAATTTTGAAAAACTTTCAGAAATAGCACCTCACAATCAAATTTTGGAATCTATACATATATATTACAAGGACAAAATATGTTTGTATGTCCAGAAGGTTCACCCACTTCTAGGTGAGCTGGAAACAGGAAATTTTGCACAATTATAGAGATTTGTAATTTCATCAAAAAAAAATTATCATAGGTATTGTGAAAATTCTAGCCCTAAACCCCCTTAGACATAATGGATGAAATGCAAATTTTTCGTTTTCTTCCAGTTTTATACTATAAAACTCCATACTTTGAGGGTATTACCTAATATTGGGTTAGTCTGAGCTTTCAAACAGAAAATGTATAATTAATTTTTCATTCTTCCCTTGTAAAAGCTGCTATGCTTTAATATTCCGGTATTAATGGCATAAATCTTAATAATGTGTTTCAGGGTTTTCGGATTTTCACACAAGGGTGGAAAACGGGAGGTGAAAGTTTGTATTATAGGAGTATAATAATATAGGAACCTATATATGTTGTTAAAAAGAGCATTTTGAAACAAACAAGGAGTTTTATTTGTTTTAAACCTGCACACATAACAACTGATACATTAGGAAGGACCCTATATACCTACTTTACAACTATTATCATTATTATTATATCTATGACCGAAAATGCAACTGTGAACCGTTATTATTATTATTACAAATTTAAGTCTCCCCTTCATCTGTCGGGTCCGTTCTTTGAGGGTGTTTAGATTCAATATTGATTGCGCGTGTGGTTTTTTTTTATTGGGTGATCAAAGCCACGTGTCATAGTTTCAATAAAAAAAAAAAACCTAAATGGCCCCGATACAGATCCCACATTATAGCATTTTCCGTGCCGAGAGTAGAATTTTCAAGATTAAAGTATCTAATCGCTTGTTAACAGTAATTTTAGTTTGAATATTGACGTTGAACTTTTACGTGATTTTGTGTCTCTTGGGAAATCAGAATCACAATATAACAATATTCATGATAAATTCATAGAAAATATATTATAACATCTTCGGAAGCAATTAACAAAACAACAATAAAGCTATGTTTGGAATAATAATACCAATTTTGGATATTATATGAACAACGATTAACCCTGTCCTTATAAAAGATGCATTCAATCAAAAAATCAGGCAGGAAAATTTGGGAAGAATCTAACAAATAACGATAGATGAAAGCTTATATCAATATGCCAACAAAATAAGACTTGGAAGAGGATGCGTGAACAGAGATGGTTGGTTAACTTTTCATAATTTTGTCTGATCAAGAGAATGCCCGAGAACTTATTGAGGTTTTCATTAATATTATTATTATTTCAAACTCGCTTTTAAGATTTCTAAACACTAAAATCTCTTCTTCCAACTAAGAAGTTGATACATTTAAGTTCAAAACTCATTCCAGATATAGTAGGTACCTAAAGACATAAGAAATTCAATTTTCTTACTTCTAAAGTAAGTTTATACAATACCTACCTGGATTACCGCAGCCTCAAATTAATCAATGCATTAAACTCTCCCCCTGAAAATCCTGCCGAAAGGTATAAAAAAAATATAGCAGAGGGCGTTTCCAAAAACCAGCCCCATCCCTGCGAATTCCCTTTTCCCTATTGGCCGGGCTCGGGGTGCCTGGATGCTGCTGATAAGACCCGCCAGCAAAGGATGTATGATGCTGATATCACAAATTGTTTGTTCTCTGGTCCATTTCCGTTCTGGCACGGTGAGCTTGCAGACATCTACTTTTTAGATTAATTTGTTTGTTAACTATTAATTGAGATAATTGAGAACAACTATAAGTGTATCTTGTGTTATATGTGTGTACAAATTGGTTATTTTTAGTTAATATGGTAAGTACCTTATCACTACTTAGTCTTGAATTGGACCAAAATTATTTGTATAAATTGTTACAGGTATATAGGGTACCACATAGATAATGGTACCTAATAAACTTTTGCTCATATTCTTTTCATTAGAGAAGAGAGAATATTGATAAAGTAGTTTTAGTCCGTTTTTTTTTAAAATACTTTCAATGCTTCATTGGCTACTAAATGTCAAAGGATTGTTCTACTTCTCAGAATTCACTTTATTAAGTCGCTGCTTGAAGATGATAGTGGTAAATCTCGAGAAGAAAAACCGTACTTTCGGTACGTTTTTTTTTTTCCAACCCGCCATCCTTCACCGATTTCAAAACCAATTTAAGGCAGTATTTTCAAGCATCTTGTTAAGTCCCTGTTAAAACTGTTGAAAAGTTCGTAGTACCCCCAGTAGCACAACAATATTGGTAAAATATTATATTTACATATCGGCCCAACGATGGAAACGTCAGATTTTTTTTATCGGCCCAATGTATATTTCCAATATGAATCCGTTATCGAAGATACAGATTGGTACAATATATAGTTTCGATATTGAAGGTAAATATTGTTCCAATATTACGAATGAATATACAGGGTGTTCCTAAATATCATGTACAAACGAAAGGGGGTGATTCTTTGGTTTATTTTATGACTAAAATTTGTGATAAACATAGGTCCGCAAACGCTTCGTTGCCGATCTACAGGGTGTTGAAATTTTAATATTTTTTAAGTTTATTCTTTATAGCCCCTGCAATTTTTGAGAGATTTAGCTCAAATTTGGAATGTAGGTTACGCAATAGGAGCTGAATGATTGCACATGTCAAATGTTTGCCAGAATTTACAAGGTGATATTTTTTCAGGGGTCATGCCCCCTTTTCTGCACCTGAATTTTTTCACGGTGCGCCGCTGGACAATTCTAAGAAACAAAATAATTTTTCTATCTTATTTAAAAACTTTTTGTTCTCTTGTAGTTTTTTCGTATCACCGACCGTTATCGAGAAAAAAATTAAAAAACAAATCTCTGTAATTAGCTAGATGAAACTAAAGTGACTCAATAAACCTTCTCCACCTACAGTGGCCACAATAGGAGTCCCGCAGCCATATTCTTAATCATTTTCAATAGGAATCTAGAGGTAAGACACCCCTCGCCGCCATATTCTTGCTCATTTTCAATATAATATGAATAAATTAAAATTTCAACACCCTGTAGATCGGTGACGAAGCGTTTGCGGACCTATGTTTATTAGAAATTTTAGTCATAAAATAAACCAAAGAATCACCCCCTTCCATTTCTACATGATATTTAGGATCACCCTGTATATATAAATATATATTTCTTTTAAACATAGACCCAATATTTATTTTTCAGATTAGCACAATATATACTTTATTTATAGGCACAATATACGTTGAAATATTGGATATATATAGAGGGCATCCATTCCGAATCTTGTCACCCACGTCATCTGAGCTCTGAGCAAAAAGACAGACTTGTGAAAATCGCCAACAAACCCATTGAGGGGGGAATTTTTGTTCTGTAAATCATCCCCTCAATAAATTTGCTGAAATGCTATTTTCATAAATCTGTCTCTTTACTCAGAACACAAATAACGTGAGTGGCAACTTTTGAAATGAAAGCCCTGTATACAGGGTGTATCAGGTTTGACTACAAAAATTTTAACACATGAAAATATGGCCCATTTTGAACAAAAAAAGTTTATACAATATGGGGTCTAAACTCAACCATTTTTAAGAAAAAGGCCTTCAAAGTTTTAACATTTTTTGACGAATATTTTAAAGTTAAAGAAAATTTTTATCATTATGAGATATAGAAAAATTTAGTTTATCCAATAATTAAGTAATTATGCATTTTTAGTCAACAACAAAAACAAAAAATCGGAAAAACAACATATAAATTTCACTTGTAAAAGGGTATCTAAACATCTGGCAACACTACAGCACAATAAAGATAGGGTGGTTGAAGGTTGAACCTTGGTGGAGCTGAATAAACTGATTCTTGATTTGTCTTTTCTAGTTGGGAAACGCGCGTAATTCAAATTCATTCTTTTTTGAAAATAAAATGTTTACAAACATGGAATATGCAGATACTTGTTTAGGTAGAATTGTTGCAAAATGCTCATTTAGCTACCAGAATTCACAGTGAAACTAGGGAAAGATTTTCCAAAAGAAAAGCACTCACCTGATGGAAGAACATTGTGCCCGTGTTACAAAGATTGCGTGATACAAGAAGTGTGAGTTGTGAGTGTGCAAAATCTACGAGTTGATTTTAGTGTTTTGAGAACTTTTCAACAAAAATTAATACATATTTTCATAATAAGGATTTGACAAGTAGCTGAGTAAGTAATATTTGATTTTTCTCTTGAATGTTTAGTGCAAAAATGTCATTCAATACAATTCACAACTTAAAGGGGATGTAACCCTGAAAAACGACTTAAGGTCTGTTCCTACAGGAGTCTTTGACAGTTTGCAAACTGTCAGTAAGCATCGCCCATACATGTTTTCAATGCTGTGGTTACAAGATAAATCTGTAACTCAGCTGAGCGATTATTTCTGACAGGTTGCAAACTGTCAGAGACTTCTGTCGGAACAGGCCTTTAAGCTACCTAAATCAAGAAAAAAATTCTAAGATCTCTCGTGAAAACCGCAGTACTGTATTCAAAATAGTCTCCGAGAAAATTCCTTGTGAAGATCAATTATGCAGGAAACTGCGCTGTCACAGCCGCCGAAATCGCAGTCTTCTGGTCGTTCAGTCGTCAGTGAACCGTACCCTATACTTTGAGTGGTTGCAATTCGCTCTAGGAGGTAATTATCTTTTGTTCTGGAGAATTCTCACATGTGTTAATACTGTCCCTGAAAATCCAGTGTGACGTCACAAACGCCTAGTTGTAACTTTAAACCGCCCTAACTCGAAAACTGACCAACGTAGCAAGATGCGGTTTGAATATTTATTCTTAGATTTTTTTGCACTAAAACTTTCAATGTTGGGTTACACCCCCTTTAATAAAATGGCACATTTTTTATTTTTACTAGAAAAGTGATAAAAATGTTATTTACATTATTTGAAAGCCAATTACAAACCAAAACGTAAACAGATGGAAATAAATAAACGCCGTGCAAAAAAAAAGTTTCAAATTTACCAGTTTTATTTACATTTATATCGTGGCAGAGATAAATACCTGTACAATGTTGTCACGTTGTGGACATTTTTCTAAATTTAAATTCTGCGATAACTCCGAAAACACTAACAATTGACCCATGGTCAATAGGACATTTTTAGCTTGAAATGGGCTATATTATCTCATGTTAAAATATTTGTACTCATACCTGATACACCCTGTATATGTAAATATATTGAGTTGAATTAATATCGGGTAGTATGTCGTTTCCAACGTTTGACCAATACGTAAGCATAATACGTATATATTTGGTACAAAAAATAGTGAACACATTATTATTATATACTCAACAAAATTCGCAAATTCTTTGGGCTAATATATTGATTTGCCAAATACAGAAAAAAGTCTATTTTCAAATATCGGCAAAACATATTTGACCAATATTGGTCCAATACGGCTACTCCGAAATTCAGGCCCTAACGCCTAACCTGAAAATACTTTTATAAATATGCGTTTATGAAATTACATTGATTTTGAAAATACGTACCTATTAGTCTAAATGTGTCCATTATAAGTGTAGGAGGATTTCCTTTTTCCCTCACTATATAATTAGGTATTAAAATTGGTTGAAAACAGCAGAAATTATTTTGTTATGTAGTAACGGTTAACGTTAACTGAAGCATGCGAATATCACAAAATACACAATAATTTATAGCATCCAACTGGAATATACAGTTACTTACCACTTTTTTGGGCTGCGCTGCACTTATTCTCACTAATAACTGGTAACACCTGATAATGAGGGATGACGTGAACTGAATTGAACTATTTAATTTCAATACAAAATGTCTACCCGTGTTGTTGCCGCATCGCGCTTGCGCCCAGCACCATTGATAACATGAGACTGTCGCGCCAAATGGTAGCATTCAGAAGACTATATTCAAGCCCTTGAAATTCATATCTGTTGTCATAATAATTATTTCGAAGGTGCACATTTCATTTCAAATCTACTTTTTGAATGTTCGAGTATTTTTAATGAATATTGGGTAAATATTTTATATAAAAAAAGGAAAAGGATAAATCTCGTACATATCACCAATATTCAGTAAATATCACATATAAATATAATTAAAAATTATTGCCAAATATGTCTTATCAATGTTGGATCCATATTGGATAAACGAGGGATAAACATTGTATAATAATATAGGAAACAGGTAGGTATCTCCTATGTATTACCAATATTGGATAGATATTACATATAAATATAAATAAAAGCTATTGCCAAATATGTTATATCAATGTTGGATCCATATTAGATAAACATTATCTAATAATATGAGGCAAAGCTACATCTCCTAATATATTACCAATATTGGATAAATATCACATATAAATATAAATAAAGGTTATTTCCAAATATGATTTATCAGTGTTGGATCAATATTGGATAAACATGGTATTACAATATAGCAAAAAGGTACATCTCCTATTTATTACCAATATTGGCTAGAAATTGCCAATATTGGGCCACTATATGCAATATTTCACCAATATAGAATCAATATTGTGCCAATATAGTGTGCTACTGGGAGTATCTTATCTAAAATGTCGGACACAAGGATCAAAACCTGACTTTTGTTTGTTGATTTTTCTGATATTTTTAACCATTCATCTTCTACCGATTGCGAAATCAATTCAAGGGATTTTTCTAGAACACCTAATTAAGTCCCTGCAAAAAGATAGTTTTAATATCCCACCCTACCCATAATCTCAAGAAAGAGGTTAAATAACTGTTATTATTGGGTTTTTGATATCCCCAACCCTCGATTTCTTAGGTAGGTACCTATTTTA